CAGCCGGGGGGCCACCACCGAGAAGGCCCTATCCCTCGTCCCCGCCAGGCGTGCCTGTGAGGCAGGCGGGATCGAGAGAAGGGCCTCCCCAGACGATCTCAAGGTCCTCGTAGGCTCATAGGCCAAGATGCGGTCTGAAAGGTATTTTGGGCCGGAGCCGTTTAGGGCTTTGTAGGCCAACACCAGCACCTTAAATTGGGCCCGGTAGCAGATCGGCAGCCAGTGGAGCTGGAACAACAAGGGCGTTGTGTGCTCCCTGCGTCCCGCTCCTGTTAGTAACATGGCTGCCGCGCGCTGGACTAGCTGAAGCTTCCGGGCCGTCTTCAAGGGCAGCCCCACGTAGAGAGCGTTGCAGTAGTCAAGGCGGGATGTGACCAGAGCGTGTACTACCGTGGCCAAGTCAGACTTCCCGAGGTACGGGCGCAGCTGGCGCACGAGCCTGAGCTGTGCAAATGCTCCCCTGGTCACCGCTGAAACCTGGGGATCCAGGCTCAACAATGAATCCAGGATCACACCCAAGCTGCGAACCTGCACCTTCAAGGGGAGTGCGACCCCATCCAGCACAGGCTGTAACCCTATACCCTGTTCAGCCTTGCGACTGACCAGGAGTACCTCTGTCTTGTCTGGATTCAATTGATAGCTTTTGTTTTACTCCATGTTCCCTTGCATTTAAAACTACTTCTGGTGTTAATCCCCAACACAAATTAAACTCTGCATGCCTGCACAAAGTAACTAATATGCCTTCCGCAGAAATTTTACTGGCCTGTAACTATTATTTCTGATCCTTTACAGGCCAGTAAAATTTCTGCGGAAGGCATATTAGTTACTTTGTGCAGGCATGCAGAGTTTAATTTGTGTTGGGGATTAACACCAGAAGTGGTTTTAAATGCAAGGGAACATGGAGTAAAACAAAAGCCAATTAGTACATCCAATTCCCACTAATACGCAACCACAACAAGCCTTCAATTAACTAATGATGACAGCAGGGCTTCTGGATTAGAAAGCACAACCTCCCCATGTGGTTGGACTCTGACAACTATTGTTTTAGAAACTAAATGTATACATCTAATTACGAGTTCTGTTATTCTGTAATTACGAGTTCAGTCCATTGAATCAATTATGGATTTCACTTATGTAAATCCCATTGATTTGGCAGATCTACTCTATTTGGATTAGGGCCACAATTCTATAGGAGACATTCCATGAGTTCTGTGGTGGATTAAACTTTACATTTAAGGTAATAATAATAATAATAATAATAATAATAATAATAATAATAATAATAATTTTATTTTTAATTAGCTCTCTCTCCCCAAAGGAACTCAGGGCGGCTTCCAAAAACAAAAATAGCAAACATTCATGCCATGTGCTATGACAGAAAAAGTTAGAAATAAAACAGAAACCAACAAACAGTTAAAAACAAACAGTTGAAAATATACCAATAAGGGCAAGATGGATGGATGTTATCCTTGAAGTAACTGGCTTGACCTTGAAGGAGTTGGGGATGGTGACAGCCCACAGGGAGCTTTGGCATGGACTGGTTTACGAGGTCATGAAGAGTTGGAAGTGACTGAATGATTAACAACAACAACAACAACCAACCAACCTAAGCTAAACATGTAGTCAATCAACCTAATACATAACACCACAAGCTGATAAAATCTGTATAAAAGTATAAGATATTTATTTATTTATTTACTTACTATATTTCTACATCGCCTTTCTTGAACCCGAAGGTGACTCAAGGCGGCTTTAAAACATAGGCAGATATTTGATGCCATTAAAACAATATAAAAATTACAATAAACATTTAAAACAGAATTATAAAACACATATATTAAAACCTTTAAAAACATATAAAACCACTTTCATTATTGCCTTCATCATCCAAAAACATTATCTAAGCCATTCCAGTATTTTATTTCACATAGTTATGTGTTTATCTATTGCACTAAGTTTCATACAGCTTGAATGTATTAAATTGGAAGTGACCACCCACTGCAAATATTGGTAAGGGGCAGTTTTGTTGTACCTGCATTTTTGTTGGTTAGTAGTGCTAGTAGAACAGTAGAACCATACATCTTTGGTTTTAATATGGGACATTTGTCTTAATCCATTTCCTGAGGTCTAATTTCCTGGAATAAAAATTGTAAAGATAATTGAGATTGGTCTATGTGCTTGTCAAGTAGAGATATAACCCTTTTTAACAACTTGATTGACTGGCAGATAATGAGTAAGTGATAACCAGGGAAAGTTAACATAAATAAGTCCTAGCTGGGGGTCTCTTGCCTTGTTTTAGGTAGGGTAGGAGCTGGGAAGAAACAGAAGCAGTGGTTTACTGGCAAATAATGAAAATGGTGTAGTTGCAATGAGAAATCCCATAGCCAGGGTCCTTGGGAGTAAACATTCAGGAAGCAGTTATTATTTACATAATCTAGGCGTGAGCGTCATGTAATCTTCCAGATGTTATTGGCCCACAACTCCCAACAATATAGCCAAGAAAGTCCACGGTGAGACATGCTGGGAGTGGCAATCCAGCTCATCCACATGGCACTATAATTCCCATCCCTCATGTAGATCTAGCAGCTTTCTTCTGCACTAGGAGCTGCCTTTTGCTGGAAGCTAAAGTGTGGAGCAGAGAATCTTTTGACTACCAGATGTATTGGACTTCAGCCCTGCAAAGCCCCAGTGAGCATGGCTAATGGCAAGGGATTATGGGAGTCCAAAGCATCTGGAGGACTAAAAGTTTCTGTGCTCTGGGCTAAAGGCCCAATAACTGAACATAAATAAAACCACATCCCCTTTGTGCGAAAATCCTCCCAGACGCTCTGAGGATTGCAACTTGCCTCTGCAGCAGATCTTTGAACGGGGTACTAAAATGCTGTTTGCTTTTTTTTGCAGGCACTGATGGCTGTTCAAAAACTAGCTCTCTGTGGGTGCTTGTCTAAGAAGATTTTGTGTTTTACGTTTATTATAATTAGACCTCAGAATGTAACACAAGAAGTGATGGGGACACACAAAATCCCACCAATGAAACCAGAAAATTTGTTAGTACTGTATCTGTTTATGAAAAGATGTCACCAGTCTTTACTTGGATAGGAGCTGCTGAAATATAACATGTTAGTAGCAGCAATAATGCCATTATGAAGCTGCAACAGTTGATATGTGGGAAGCTCTGTTGTGAGAGTAGCCAATACTGAAAATTTCCATGGCAGCATCAGCCAAGCCAGCCCACTCTCCTATCTCAGTTAATGTTTTACATTAACATAATATCTGGGACATTTCTCCCTCTTGTAGTTTGGAATATCAAACCATAGAAACAAGTTAGAAGAGACCACAAAAGACAACCCAGTTCAAGTCCCTGCCATGCAGGAACCAAAGCATTCCTGACAGATGGCCATCTAGCCTATCTTTGCAAATCTCAAGAGGAGACTCCACCACACTCCAAGGCAGCATAGCCCACTGTTAGACAGCTCTTACCATCAGGAAATTCTTCCTAATTTTTAGGTGGAATCTCTTTTCCTGTAGTTTGAACCAGTTGTTCATGCCCCAGCCTCTAGACCAGCAGAAAACAAACTTACCCCATCCTCAATAATCACATCCTTTCAAATATTTAAACATGGCAACCTTCTCCAAGCTAAATGTATCCAACTCTCTCAGCCATTTCTCATAGGACTTGGTTTCCACACTTTTGGATGTTTTGGTTGCCCTTCTCTGGACAGTTTTCAACTTGTCAATATCCTCCTTGAATTGTGGTGCTCAGAACTGGAGATAAGTGTTATTCCAGGTGAGGTCTGGCCAAAACAGAATAGAGTGGGGCTATGGTTTCCCTTGATCGAGACACCGTATTCTTATTGATGTCGCCTAGAATCACATTGTATTTTTTACCTGACACTACACTGTTGACTCATGCTCAGCTAACTTCTTCTACCTAAATGCAGTGTCCTACATTTCTATTGAAATTCATTTTATTACTCCCCCTGCTTCCCCAGTTTTCCAATCTGTTGAGAACATTTAAAATTCAAATCCTGTTTTCCTGAGCTATTAGCTACTCTTCTATTTTGGCATCATCTAATTTGATAAGCATGTCCTCTACTTTGTCACACAAATCATTTATACAAGTGTTGAATAACAACCTTTCTTTCCTTCCAACTAGCTAATCTGCTAAAAACCACCTTGGTGTGCTGCTCCACACTTTCCTGTAACAAAACATTTGTGCAATAATTGTGATGTTCTAGCAAAGAGGAAATTGATAAAGGAAGAGATTTATATTATACAGTATTGTATGCATGTTGGTGCTTATTTCCTGGTCAGAGAACAATGCTTGTTGCTTACAGAGATTGTATTCTCTGAAGACCTCAAATTGCTTCATAATTGAACAACATGTTGTCATTCCATCTGTTTTAATAGAGACCCAGAGAAATAATTTGCCAAAATACATGGAAATAGGCCAAAAAAGAGTTAGATTTTAAGCCTTATGATTCACAAACCTTTATATTCACCACACCAAATGACAACTCTCAGGAATCCAGCACACTGAGCCATGGCAGTTCAATGTGGTGTCAAATTGCATTGATTCTATAGTGCAGATGCACCCTCAAATAATTCTGGTTTCTGGGAAGTGCAGGAATATAGTTATTCCTGACTCATACTTTAAGTATGAACATAAATATGAACTCATCATATTTAGTGTGATCCTGATCAATCTGAACAAAAATGATTCAAGAGAAAAAGGCAGAGGTGTTGAGAACTCATAAAATTTGGTTGTGTTCCAGATTCTTTGATTCATAAGAATCAAATTCATAAGATTCTTTGGTAAGTACAATGAATAAGTTGAATAATGTTTTGTCTGCTCAGATCTTGGAAATATCTGAGCCAAGATTCATGTTAAACATTTCCTTGGGATTTTCCAACAGAAATCCTTTCACTCCTGCAGGACTTCTTGCTTGGGGTGTCACTGACATAGAATCCCACACATTAAAAAAACCTCACACACACAATGGTAATTATTAGTTTAATTTTCAACACCAAAACAAAGAATAAATTATTCAATTTTTAACAGCAATGAAAATGTCATGTGTTATACTCTTAACACTGAAACTTATACAGCTCAGCAAGCTGAAATTCTTTAATTGACCATATCCCTTTCCCTTTCTCCTCCCTCGACTTAGCAGTCAGTGATTCCAAAGCTACACTGAGCAATTAAAAACTAGATAGGAAAATATGAAACTTTTCTTGCCATGCCACCCTACCCTGCCCTTCTCATTCTAATAGTGTAAGACACATGAACACACCATTGTGATGTAACAAATGCTTTTCAAATACTAAAACTTTAAGAATAAGTGAATTCAGCATACATTCTACTGATTTAACTTACTTAAATTGAAGGCCAAACTGTGTCATCTGCACAAGAGTGTTTAATTGCAGTCCTTACAACACATCTTTGAAGCAAAATAAGGAAAAACACTGCATGAATGGATAAGAACTTTGGCTAAGAGAACTGTTATACACTCTCTGCTTTTATCTGTGAAAAGCGTCTCATTGCCATATATACTGGATGCCACATATGTAACTATTCTCAGGATATATTCTGTAATTTCAAAACTACACTTAAATTTGTCAGCACTTCCAGGAACCTTTTAAAATACAGAAAAGCTCTGTGCATGTCAGTGTGGCTGCACATCCCATAGTACTGAGGAGGGTGGATTTGAAACAGAATCCCTATAATTCTTCACTAAAACATTTTAGTATAGTCTGATTCTGACAGTATCTACCAACATATAAAGCTATGTGAACAAGTAGCCCATTTAAAAGAGCTGTGCTTTTTGAGTTTAGTGATGACAGTTTTCATAAAGACTTCCAAAGACTCTCTTTGTTCTCAAAGCAGACAGTATACTTTCTGTAATGCATATTTCCCAAGAAGAAAAAGCATTCCTCCTATTATAACACACCATTTCAGAGACTGCAGACATTTTTGTATAATGCAAAACAACCTCTGTATGCAATTCCTAGGGAAGTTAGTACTAATAGTTTTTTCTGTAGTAGTTGTTTGCTGGAGAGTCTTTTCTAACTTAAATGATTAATTTTCCCCATTCTTCAAAGGAAGAATAGGACAAAACTCTTCTGGCCACTGGAACTACTTGTTGGTAGTTGATTGCGTTTGTACATCCTCCTGAATTTTCTTCAGGGCATCTGCCATTAAATTACAAGCATTCCTGTGCTTTTGCCAGTGCTGTACCTGACATGCTCTGCAAAGGGAAATATAAAGGCAAATTAATAACGATCATCACTACCAGATTCAGAATGGAACACACATTGAAATGCTTCACCTTTACTCAGAATAATAGAGTTTGGAGTTGTACAGAATGAACAGTACACGAGGCAAATCCTAATAATATTTTATATAAAAGTGGTGTTGTTTCCTTGTTCCTCTGAAGCAAACAGGCCTAGAATATGATGGGGTATCCTTCCATGAGGCTGACCGCCTACACATAATGAGATGACCTTCTGTAGAGCAGTAACACATCTCAGGATAATCTCCACTGCAGGAGAAACTAATGTCCGCTGGAAAGAAGTGGTTCTTGGGGAATGCTTGGCCTTTCAAATGTTAATGGACTATAAATCCAATCATCCTGGATTACCGACAGTGCAAAGAGCCAGTGAAAGTTGGAGTCAGAAAAAAATGGAGGATCCCATTCGCACCTCTGTTCTAGGTATTCTTAAGTTGCTGGTAACAAGACTAATCACAGAATCCCTCACAATTTAGAGCAGGGGTATGAACTGTGTGACCTTCCAGACAGTGATGCACACAGCCAGCATAGTCAATGATAAGGATGGCTTGGGCTTATAATTCACCAACACCTGAAAGACCACATCAATTCATACCCACTGATTTAAAGGCAAATTCCTCCCACAATCTGAAGGAGGTTATCTTGATATCTTTTATTTCTCCTTCTTACTTCAAAGACAGCACCAATGTAAGTGAAATAGTTTCTCTTCTGATTTTGGAACTCCCATGACCCCAAAGCATTGAGCCATGGCAGTTAAAGTGGGGCCAAACTGCATTAATTCTGTAGGGAAGATGCACCCAGAGTCACAATGGAGGAAAAAAAGAGCTTTCTCCTCTGTATAAATCCCTCTCTGCTAAAATAAGAGAAAAGGTTTGCACTCTTTTTCATATGTACAATTTTACTCCAAAGTTATCCAAAATGAGCAAATCTGTTTTCCCACTTTGCTGCTGAAGTTATGGAGACAAGCGTTCCTTTTGTAACATGTGATTATATTGTCCCAAAGTGGCAGAAGTGACTATTTCTTTTGTCTAAAATGCTGAGGCAGAAGGTCAGTTTCTGTGGTGCACTGTTATTCTTATCAATACATAGAAAATAAAATGATAATAATTTTCCAGTAAAGATTTAATATTTCTATTGCTTTCTACTGCAAGATTAGCAGTATCTAGAAACAGGAGGTCTAAGCTATTTGTCTTTTAAAAACTGGTCCCAAAGGACTTGGTTAAATGCTGCTTTGGTGCTTTTAAAATACTGCTTTGCTAGACAAGCTGTTGTACTACTTGAATGTCTCTACAATGATCAAAAATACCGTTTTAGTTCAATTTCCCATTGCTTCATTACATATGCATGTCATGAATCATCCCATGGGTCTTCTCTGATTGGTCCTCTCTAGTTAATGGCATCTGTTGGCGTTTTTGAAAATGCTACTAACTCATCATCTCTTATACTAGGTGTGCTTACCGCTTGCAGTACCATTCGTTCCGGCAACGGGAGCAGCGCTTTGCGGCCTCCGAGCCACACATCCCACACTTGGGTTTGTCTGGGATCAGGGCTTCCATTACATCCAGGTTGTATGTCTTTGCCCACCTGATAGAAGACAGAAAGTAGTCTTCAACAGATTCAGAAGAGTAGACAATGTTATGTTTTTCAGTCCTTCCTGGTCTGTTCCAGGATGGGGCAATCAATGTGGGATGCCACATTGATTGGCATTTAGGAAAGATGATGTCTACCTTAAGATTACTTTACTACATTTCATTTTAACAGGATCATATAGCAGCTTATACTATGCCTCCTGGTGTCACAGCAGGTTAAACCATTGAGCTGCTGAACTTGGTGACTGAAAGGTTGGCGGTTTGAATCCGGGGAGCAGGGTGAGCTTCTGCTGTTAGGCCTAGCTTCTGCCAACTTAGCTGTTCAAAATCATGCAAATGTGAGTAGATCAATAGGTACCGTTTCAGCGGGAAGGTAATGGTGCTCCATGCAGTCATGCTGGCCATATGACCTAGGAGGCATCTACAATCAACGCCGGTTCTTCAGCTTAGAAAAGGAGATGAGCACCACCCCCAGAGTCGGACATGACTTAATGCCGGGGAAACCTTTACCTTTACTATACTGCTTTACTTATACTGCTGTATACTGCATATATACAGGGGCTTTATACCATCATAAACATATTTCCAAAATGTTTCTTACACCCAGAATTTTTGCTGTTGTGTGCCTTCAAGACATTTCTGACTTATAAGGTGAACCTATCACAGAGTTTTCTTGGCAAAATTTGGTCTTCCTCAGAGACTGAGAATATGTGACTTGCCTAAGGTCACCTAGCAGGTTTCCATGACTAAGAGGAGAATTAAACCCTGGTCTCTCTGTGTCCTAGTCTAACACTCATAACACTATAGCATGCTGACTCAGTCTGTCCAGAATACTGAATTGGTATTTAGAATAACAGGTAATTTGAAGATATTCTGAAAGAGAGGAGCAAATGCAGCATTTTTGATGGATTAGCTTTTTTAAAATACCTTCCTTATTCTAAAATTACTTGCTCTGGACACTATTAATTGTTGTGAATGTTATATTGAAGACAATAAGAAATAACTATAATTTGGTTCTAGAAAGTAGTAATCAGAACTCATTAATGCTGGGTAAATTGGCGAATTGGGCTGTTTTCTGCCATTTCTGTCTTCTGGAAACATATCGGTCAAATTCCTACTCAGTATTTCAAAAGGTCAAAGTTCAAGACCTATAAGAAGGCTTCAAATTTGGATGTATTTCAAAGAGAATTCTCTGAAATGTGCTTTTTGCATAACATTTGTTATATGAATATTGATTTTCCATGTATAAAGGGACACCAATTTTCTAAATCTGACCACAAGGAGTCCAATTTCAGTGGTGGTTCCTAAATTTAGTTGAACTGGAAAAGATAAATTTTCATTTGTTCTCTGGCTCTACTAGGCTACAATCAAGAGTTCACCCAGATAAAATTTTTGTGTGTGGGACTGAGAGCAAATTTGTGCCTGTTTTTCATGTTTTTGGTAGTTGTTTTTGCATCAACTTCCAAATGTTTACTGGATGCTTGCAGAACATATGGAGTTTTTGGGTAGTGGAGTGATATCCATCCTTCCTGCTCGCTTTTCCAATTCTTCTCTTCTCCCTGTTCCTTGTGGGCCTTTACTCCTTCTATTTTCCCACTAAGCTTCCTAAATAGAAACTGGAGTGCTCAAGTACAAGAAAATTTTTCTAGTGCTGAGGGATTCTTTTTGGAAAATTTTCAGGTTATATTGCTTACAAATATTACAGAAAAAAAACATAAGAAAAAGAGAAACAGTTGAAACCAGTTTAGCAGATACAAAAATAGAATTTTTTAAATGGAATGGAATTTCATAAGATGTTAAAGCCAAGAGACCACTTCATAGCACACAGTGCACTGCCAAAAACCAAAAAGAACGGAATTGTAACAGCTTCACACAAGGATTTGGAAGTTGATGTGATCTGAAATGTACTGAGATAGGATGAAGTACCACAATTAAGTAAGAAGATATAGTAGGAAGATGAGCACAGGGAACTCTTTACCTGCGAGCTTGACTCTTCAGCTCCTCATCTGAAGGACTGAACATATTGTTTACCTGGTGCTTGGCAATTGCTTGCCACTTTCCAGAATTCTCTCTGATAACTTGGTCCCAGATGACAGGAACCTGTCATGACAGGAAAAGAACAAAAGGTGCATCTATCAGAACACAGGGATCTAATACAGTAATAATTCCTGGAACCCATCAAAGCACAAGCACATGTGGAAGTGATAAGCATCAATTCACATCAAAGAAAAAAGCAGGATGTTGTGCATGTTTAAGAGATAAAAAGAAAAGGCTAAGATATCTTTCTGTCTGAAGGAACACTGAGCAGCTTTATGTAACACTGGACATGAACCAAGGAAAAGAAATTTCAATTAAATTCTTTAAGATGTTATTGTTTCTTTCTTCTGAACCAGAATGGGAAATCCATGTTCTCCAAGATGTCATTGGACTGCAGCTACCACCATCAATAATTATGCTAGCTGGGAGTTTCAAGGTCAGCAATATCTGGGAGGGGATATTATTGGAGGCAGATCTTACTTAACAAAAAATCTATGGATGAAACAAGTCACGTTGACTGTCATGGTCCTCTCCACCTGATCTGTGTTAGCAATGACACATTCTTTTTGTGGACCAACTACTGAAGTTTCTTGTAACGAACAAGATAAACAAAATGTTTTAGGAAGTGATAAACAGACTTACAATGTGATCGATTGCCATTTATATTCCTTAGATGATTTTGTTTTGCTGCTCACAAATATGCCATCCGATCACCCTGAATAGCTGTGATGAACTCATTTTCTGACTGATGAGCCAGTCCTTGTACAGCCAAAAGGGCACCATCTCCAAAAAAGTGGTGCTCCACAGATATTGTAGTGCAGTCTACATTTGACTGTATGTTTGAAACATAGTGGCAGTATTAAAAAAAATACCAAAATACAACATCTGAGTAACATGTCAAATTAAAAATTCAGAAACAGGTTTCAAATAATGAATGGTCAGAAATTTAAACTTGGCATAAGCATTGGATGCGTATCCAACATCTGCCACATTGCTAACTTTTTTTTTTACTTAAAATAGAACTTTCTATGTTTTGCCAGGTTTCTGAAAAAAAGACACCAAAGTGTGGGTTTTCAAATATGAGGGGGGAAATCTCGCAAAGGGCTGCTGTCATCAAGTTTAGGCTTCAAAGGAAGTTCTGCTCTTTTAAAATGCCCCTACCAAATAAAAATAGCAGTACAGCGACCGAATGTGAGGGACTGCTCTGTAGGAAGCGAAAGATGGAAAAAGGCCTTTTCATAATTGCTTGGCATAGAGACAGTGGGTGAGTTCATGGGCTTCTGGGAAGTTTGCCTTACCAGGGTGTGTACAGTATAGTTTCAGTTTTTCCCAGGCATCCCAGATTGCTGACTCTCAGCTACTGGTACCAATGTAAACTAACAGGAGAATGGCAATACTTGAGCACATCAGCATTAAAAATCCAGACAGTAATATGCAAGATTCAGCAATCTATATACACATAGAGCATTAGCACAATTCTTTCCATGAGGCCAGCATCTTTACCAGGATGTGCCACAGTCACCGAACATTCTTTTTCTGTGGCATTTTCTTGGATCAGTTTTCTACTTCTTTGCCTGCACAGAACAATGCTGCTACCTACAGTCTATAAAGATGATTCTTTGAAATATTTCTGTGCTCAAATGTTGTTGTTGTTGTTGTTGTTGTTGTTGATGATGATAATAATGGTGGTCCCAGTGGTGATTGGCACACTGGGTGCAGTGCCTAAAGGCCTTGGCCTGCACTTAAAAATAATTGGTGCTGACAAAGTTACCATCTGTCAGCTGCAAAAGGCCACCCTGCTTGGATCTGCCATGCATTATTCACCAATACATCACACAGTCCTAGACATACTTGCTCTAATATGAGGTCTTTCTTGGGTGGAGCAGGATCTGTCACAGCAAGATGGCCCAGGAACCTCTGTAGCTCCAGAAGGTTGGGGAATTGGTCAAGGAGGACATCAGTCAGATAGGCACAGAGCTACATCCAGAAATTATAAAGAGATGAAACATTAAAGATGCAACTCTGTTTTTTTTTTCCTTTTGGATTTAATTGTAAAATGTTTGGGCCAGTAGTGCACAACTTGCAGCCTTCCAGATGTTTGGGACTCCAGGCAGCTTGTCCAGTGATCAGGAATTCTGGGAACTGAAGTCTAAGAGACCTGGAGGGCCACAGGTTTTGCAGGCTTGGTCTAGGCCAAACTCCACTCTTCAACAAAACAATGATACAAAAAGATATACATTTACTTTATTTTGAATGCTGTAGAGGTTGTCAGTTGGAAATTCCATACAAAGCTTGCACATAGAACTTTTCTATGCATACGTGCATCCTTCTTTTGATTGTGGGCTCTTCCACATAGCCATATAACCCAGAATATCAAGGCAGTAAATTCCACAATATCTGCTTTGAACTGGGTTATCGAGTCACTGCCATATATTCCAGTTCAAAGCATATAATGTGGAATTTTATTCATCTGTGTGGAAGGGGCCTGTGACTGAGACACAGATGTCTTAACTGATTGCTGCTAAGTTGTAAGGACCCAGTGGACCCAAAGCTGACACCATTTTATAACCGGAAACCCTGGTTTGTGATTGAGTACCAATAAATATCATGTCTGATCTTGAAAGTTAGGCACGGTCAGCCCCAGTTAGTAATTTTATGGGGGTTTGTCAAGTGATACCAGGTACTGAAGGCTGTATTTCATAGGAAGACAATGACAAACCACCTCTGAGAGGTTTGCCATTGCTTTCTTTAACTAAGAAAACCCTATGAAATTCATGCAGCTATCATAAATCAGCAGGTAAGTTGACAGCACATATATATACATCAATGGAGATGCTGTGCTCATGTATCTGGGTGCTAGGATTGCTTTTCTATTACTTTTTAGTCAGTTTTATGTAATTTATTTGTTTTAAATGACAGTTAATAGATGTATGTAATTAATATGGGATTTTTGAATGAAAAGCAGAATGATTGCTTTCTACAGCATCTTACACTTCCCGTATTATTCAAGATCCTGCAAGGAAGACTCCAGCAATACATGGAGCGAGAGTTGCCAGATGTTCAAGCTGGGTTTAGAAAAGGTAGAGGAACGAGAGACCAGATTGCAATATCCGCTGGATAATGGAGAAAGGCAGGGAGTTTCAGAAAAACATCTACTTCTGCTTCATTGACTATTCTAAAGCCTTTGACTGTGTGGATCATAATAATAAATGGTGGCAAGTTCTTGGTGGGATGGGCATCCCAAGCCCCCTTCCCTCTCTCCTGAGGAATCTGTACAAGGACCAAGTAGCAACAGTCAGAACTGACCACGGAACAACAGACTGGTTCAAGATTGGGAAAGGCGTACGGCAAGGCTGCATCCTCTCACCCAACCTTTTTAACTTGTATGCAGAACACATCATGCGAGGATGTGCGGGGCTTGATGAATGCAAAGCTGGGGTGAAAATGGCTGGAAGAAACATTAACAACCTCAGATATGCAGATGACACCACTCTGATGGCCGAAAGCAAGGAGGAGCTGAGGAGCCTTCTAATCAAGGTGAAAGAAGAAAGCGCAAAAGCCGGGTTGCAGCTAAACGTCAAAAAAACCAAGATTATGGCAACAAGAATGATTGACAACTGGAAAATAGAGGGAGAAACCGTGGAGGCCATGACAGACTTTGTATTTCTAGGTGCAAAGATTACTGCAGATGCAGACTGTGGCCAGGAAATCAGAAGACGCTTACTTCTTGGGAGGAGAGCAATGTCCAATCTCGATAAAATAGTAAAGAGTAGAGACATCAGACTGGCAACAAAGATCCGCCTAGTCAAAGCCATGGTATTCCCTGTAGTAACCTACGGATGTGAGAGCTGGACCTTAGGGAAGGCTGAGCGAAGGAAGATCGATGCTTTTGAACTGTGGTGTTGGAGGCAAGTTCTGAGAGTGCCTTGGACTGCGAGAAGATCCAACCAGTCCATCCTCCAGGAAATAAAGCCCGACTGCTCATTGGAGGGAAGTATTAGAGGCAAAGATGAAGTACTTAGGCCACATAATGGGAAGACAGGAAAGCTTAGAGAAGACAATGATGCTGGGGAAAATGGAAGGAAAAAGGAAGAGGGGCCAACCAAGGGCAAGATGGATGGATGGTATCCGTGAAGTGACTGACTTGACTTTGAAGGAGCTGGGGGTGGCCAAAGCTGATAGGGAGCTCTGGCATGGGCTGGTCGCATGAGGTCACGAAGAGTCGGAGACGACTGAACGAATGAACAACAACAAGAACAGGAATCTACTGCAAGCATAAATTCAGCCTGTACACTTTACAATACAATACCTTCAGCAGTTGACTTTTGCTGAAATTGTTGAAGTTGTATTTGCGCTGGCATTCTGAACTAAGGAGCAGGTTATATAGAGCAATCCACACTTGTCCATCCAATTTAGTCATCTTCATATGGTCTTTATGAGGCACCTCATACCATGACCCATTCTCAAACTTTTTTAGCTTTCCTAGGGGGAAAATGGGCAGCTATAAAGTATCCACAGGTTCTACATCACCAAATTCAACCAACCATGGCTTGAAAATACTTATCTCCCTCAACAATTCAAAACATCCCCAAAATTCATTGATCTTGTCATTTTATGGAAGGGATGCCATCTTATTGTGTGATAAATATAAGTAAAGTAAGTAAAATATTTACTCCAAGGAAAATATTTTTGATAATGCAGCTGTGATTAATCTGCACACAATATCAATATTGTTTGGCTTGAACTCTTGCTTATATCCACTCCTGTTTACTGGACTTTTCTGAAGTCTGTTGGGTTCTGTAGTTGCGAGGAGGCTGAAAGCCTACCTGCTGGGATTCCCTTTGCAGAACTGACATATTACAGTTGATTCAACATTCAACATTGGAGCACCTGGTAGTGTAGCAGGTTAAAGCGCTGAGCTGCAATTTGCTGACTAAAAGGTCGCAGGTTTGAATCTGGGGAGCGGTGTGAGCTCCCTCTGTTAGACTCAGCTTCTGCCAACCTAGCAGTTCAAAAACATGCAAATGTGAGTAGATCAATAGGTACTGCTCCGGTGGGAAGGTAAAGGAACTCCATGCAGTGATGACAGCCACATGACCTTGAAGGTGTCTATGGACAATGCTGGCTCTTTGGCTTAGAAATGGAGATGTGAACCAACCCCCAGAGTCGGACAAGACTGGACTTAATGTCAGGGCAAAACCTAAACCAACATTTTGCAACGTTTTCTTTCATTTCAATTCATTTGAAATCAACTGTAAATCAACTTTTTATACAAAAGGAATAAATGGGTACTTCAGAATAAATTGATTACTAAATACCATCAACATGACTTTGAGCTTTAAACTCCCTCTTCAGGTTGGAATATGTCTCAAAATAAGGATGCAGCTTTACCAGGAGACACAAGGTTAATGAATGGAGAGTTTCACCCCATATTTGAAACTCCATGGAAAAGGTATATTCATACCTGATATTTCCTTGTTAAATATTAAATAAGTACGTTTAAATTTATTTATGCTTGTCCGCCCATATTTCTTTTAAACATTTCTCTTTCAAGATAGTGACCTAGTAAGTCTTCATTTACTTTTTTAATGACACTTGAAAATACAGAGTATTGTGAATAGCAACCACAGCTTGAGTAAACTGTAATATTTGTATCACATTGTTCTGCTTATCTTTACTTGAATGACACCCAGGAGAACAAAGACAATCCATGTTAGCTAGAGTGAAATAAAGTGAAGCAAAGGGTAATTGGTAAAGATAAGTTTAGAGTTTCTCTTTCTATTATGTCCACAACTCAGGCTTGTGTGACTTGGATCTGAATGGCCTGAAAATATTTGTCTGCCCAAATCCACATCAAAGGAAGGCTTTCTTTCAGTCCCACTATTTTCACTTCTCTCTGGCTGCTCCAAGATTGCAGGAGTTGCAGGGGGCTGAAGGGATGTCAGGTAGAAGATGAAGCAAGCATGGGGTTTTTTTTTGGCTGTTCCAAAGACTAGAATATGAACAAATGGATTCATGTTACAAAAAATGGGATTCCACCCAAACTATGGGAAGAACCGTTTTCTTGTAACAGCTGTTGACAGTGGACTAGATTTCCTTGGAGGATGGTGGATTATCCCATCTTGGAGATGTTTAAACAGAGTTTAATAGGAGTGCTTTAGCTGGGTTACTGCATGGCAGACAGAGGGTTGAACTACATTGCCTTGTAGTTTCTTCCAGATTCTGTTATTCTAAATCATGAATCATGCGCTGACAAAGATGAAATCATAATTCATAGTTGATTAAAAAAAGTCTATAACACCATCAAGATGTTGACTGAACTGTTTCTATCGTATAATACTCACCCTCTTCACGATAGCTCCATGGACAATGCTCTACCAATTGTACCAAAAGACATGGGAAGTTGTGAGTATTCAGCACCCTTGTCACAGCACTCACTGGTAAACTGACAAAGCATAAGACAGAAAATTGACACCTTGGAGATCCCAGGTTTTCAAAGTAAAGTAGATTTCCCACCTTCAAAGTGCACATTACTGCATTTAAAGTGAAAAAATATAAGACCAAAAAACCCATCTCAATTTTAGATATGCTAGGATGCATTTTCACATATTTTGGAGAATGAATACAATCGGTCTTAGAAATCATTATGTAGGGACAGACTAAGGTAGAAATGATGCTACCCAGCTTTTTCAAAGACCTTGGAGACTAATGGGAGTCTTTCTTGCCAGACTACTTTATAAATCTTGCTTACAAGTTTATAAATAATTTACATTTTACATTTTATTAATATACTAGTATTATATTAAATGCTACCATAATTGTCAAAACAAGTGAAATACTGTGAAAATCATGGACTGCTGAACAGATTGCTTAGAAGGATAAAAAATAGTAGACGCTATACAAAAGAAAGAAAAGGAATTCTCTTCAACACCACCAGGAAGTCAGACCGAAACAAGGGAAGAACCCAAATCTTCATTTCTGATGTTTTTAAACTTTCACACACTCTTTTCCCTCTATTTTTCACCTTCCTCCCTAGCTATTGCCCCTTTCCCACCCCCTTCTCTCCTAAACCCCAGCTGTTCTCTATTTCTACTTCTATTTCTATTCTTCTCTTATATTTGACATCTCTCTCTCTCTTTTTTAAAATATGTATTAAGAAAACCTCAATAAAGATTTTTTTTTTTAAAAAAGTAGATGATACCAGCATGAACACTAGGGCAGGGCATTTTTAACAGGTCTAATTACTTGGCTCTTGTCAAGATGTTCTCTTTCTTTATAAGAGCAAAAATCAGAAACAATAAAATAAAATGCAAAAAATAGCACAGGTCTTATTGACTGTTTTACATCTCTTCCATGAATCGTCATGATTATGGATTGCTATTCATTTCTGGACCAATTTAGAATGTCTGAACTAGGAAACTGAGGGGGTGGTATATAATCTCTTCTCTCATGTTCTGTGTTGGTTCTTCTATGAAAAGGTAATGTACCTGTCTACCAGGCCAGTAATGAACCGGAATACTGACAAAGTTTTCAGTGATATCTCAAACTCCATTGCCTCAGCCTGTTTCTTTAATTCCTGAAAGTAGAAAAAATGTAATATAGCCATTGTTTTTTTCAGATATGGAGCTATGGTTTAAACACTCTTCTGCCGTTTCTCACAGCTAATAGGGAAATCAGAAAATTCTCAAGTTGGTTTCTTCAAACCCAGGACAAAAAAACACAAGTCAAGGAAAGGCTAATCTAACATCTATAGCACCATTCTCTTGTCATGAGGCTAAAGATTTCAACAAGCTTTTCTAATCCTTCCAGGCCTTTAAGGATTATTATAACCTTAGGTAATTTATTTCATCTGTCACATTTCATATTTATAAAATTATCTTGTATATTTTAGTCCTTGTAGTATTGACACTGGTTTTTGCCCCTATCCTTTGTTTTTCAGTTCTTGGATTTAGATGTGGTGACCCACATACTTTTGTGCTGAGTCTTAAAACCTGATTGTGATGTTTTAAGAAATCTTATCAAGTAATACCTGGAAAAAAATATGGCATTTAATAAAAAAAATAGAAATAATATTAACAATAATTACGGTGTGGAGTCATCATCTGAATTTTCAATCTTGGGTGTCCAAAACATTAATTTTGTTGATGGGAGCTATACGTTTATCTAACCTGCATTGATGAAGGATTGGCAAGATCTTCAACCACAAGCTTCTGGTCCACTGGTATCTTCTCACTGGTGCTCTGAGCAGCTAGTAAGGTCAGCTTCCTATGACTATAATCTATCAAGTCCAGAACGGTATCTTCTGCGGACTCACATATTTCCTGTAAAATGATAGAAATACTGTAGGAGACATGGAAGTAAGTGTTGCAGAACGAAAGCAAATGACAAATCCTATAAGTTGTTTTTGTCAATAGATTTATTAGGGAGAAAACTTGTCCAGGTGGTCATTCTAATTCTCAAAATGTCTGATGTGTTGCCTTCTTATCCATGATTACTTTTTGCCTGACCAAGACAAAAAATGTTTGCATGTTCAATGCCTGGCTAGGTAGGGACAAGATCCAGGGAAAGACTGAATTACACTGTTGTGAATAGATTAGGAGCAGAAACATGCTGGGAAAGACAAAGGGCGTTTTTTTCAATGGGCTAAGGGAAAAGTTACAAACCCTGGCCTAAATTCTGAGTGTGCTCTTGGGTCTTTCAATCTGAATCTATCATCAAATGCTGTTTTTAAAAAAATTAGTATACTAGTCGCCACTTTCTAAATGTTCAAGTTCATCAAAAAAACCTAGCATCATTTATCTAAAGTGATCTAAATTATTACTTGGGATTTTATTTATGACCTTCTTCTTCCTACCTTGTGAAAGAACACTGTTTCCAAGAGATTAATGACGGAGGCTTCATGACGCAGCTGAAACAGACAGAATGCAGCAAAACAAATTATGTAAATGAAGCCAGAATATAGATGTAAAAAACAGCATTTCAGTCAGTTGGGACACTGTAATTTTGAAAAGAGGAAGTTTGCATTTGCAAAATAGCTCCATTATTTTCTTGAAAATTGTGTAAGAACTGCCTCTTTATAATTCAAAGAAGGCACAGTGATATTTAATTTATGAATTGTGCCATATTGGAGACTGCAGAATTATATACAGTAGAAAATACAAAACAAACACACTCAACAAGAATGCGTTATGTATTATTTGTGTATTATTAATTAGGAAATGTTCATCTGTCAATAAAAATGCCTTCAATAATGGCTGAACATAAATAAGCATAAGTGCATGTGAAATGTTAGCCCTCAATATCTATGCTTAGCTAGCACTCTTGAACACAAATATTAACATGACCATTTGTAATGTATATTTAACAGAATAAATAATTTACCGGTAGTTAAGCAACTGTATTTTTAATCTTCAAATCTCCTTACCCCTTATGATATCAAGCTGTAGAAAACTTTGGGCACTTCCACACAGCACCCAAATCCAATTTAAAGTGGATTTTTAAAACCCACTTTGATGTGGATTCAAGTACAACTCCCCCCCCCCCCCCCCCCCATCCCAAACCCTGGCTTTCCCATGTGGGTGTGTGTCTAGATGCCACCCAATCACACCCAACCCCCTCAAAACAAGCCTTAATTTTTTTTAAAAAAACTTACTGGGCTGCCATTAAACTGCTCCATGAATCCTCCAAGCATAAAGAAATGATGCGATTTTGCTCCTCCCTTCATCTTCTGGCTAGGACTCACAGAGCAGCTTAATTGTGCCCCACTAGTTTGTTTTTTTTAAAAATTAAGATTCATTTTAGAGGGCTTAGGTGAGGGGGTAGGTGCCATTTTGCACCTTTGAGCTCCAGGGGTCCAAAAATGTGAGATGACTGTGGGGACTGACCCCCAGGTAGTCCCTAGAATACCCAGTAGTCAGTCCTCACAGGCCCCGCACTTTTGGGTCTGTCTGGAAGGGCGTTTGCATTTTTTTTTAAAAATTAAAAAACCTCTTAAGAGTGAAAGGTACAGATCAGAGATGCACATTTGAGCAAACATCCGAAGAATAAAATAAAAACACAAACCTCCACTTGTTAACACATCAAAAAAAATCAGCATTTATTGAAACTAACTGATGTGGGAGACTCGTGGAGTTCCCCTGTGCCCTGAATTTTCCAGGAATCCACACTATAGTTCTGGCTATTGGCTACATTTTTTTATCTCTTTCCTGGAAATGTACTGAAGATTGGCAGTTATTAGCTTGCAGTCCACAGAACCACTACTTTGAGAGTGCTTCCACACAGGACTAAAATCCATGCCAAAGCAGATTTCATTCCCCACATACCCATCCAAATCCTGAGCTTTCTCGGGGGGAGGGGTGGCATGAAGCTACCCCCAAGCCCCCAACTAAGCCCCAGAAACATACTTACAAGGTTCCTGGCCACCATAACTCCTCTCACTGCATTCCCCTGCCATGAAAAAAATGATGCGTGAGGAGATGGGTGGGGGGAGGGGCAAGGAGGGATTTTCCTCCTCGTTCTTCCTGTCTCCTCACACGTTATTTTCTGGCACCAGGGGTGAATGCCATCCTACAACTTTGGGCTCCAGGAACCCAAAGGGTACAAGATGGTTGTGGGGACTCAACCCCAGGTAGTCCCAGGGCTATCTGTGGGTGAGTCTCCACAGGCCCAATATCCTATTAGACCCAGGCCTTTCAGGAAGGCCTGGATCTATTGGGGTATCTAATTAATTTGTTGAAAATTATTTTTGTTTTTACCAGAGGTGTCGTTTGGATGCCTCTGGTAAAAACTGAGACAGGTCCCTGTTTTTGAGCCTGTCTGGGTAGGTCCTGAGAAGCAGTTGCATAAGCTGCAGTTCAGCATTATATGAATGAACCACGAAGCTCCTTGCTCTCCTTCTGTTATGACCCTGAGTGAAGATATTTGCATACGTTGCTTTTAAAATCACAACGTGTGCTGTCAAAAGTGACAAATTATAGTTAATTGACTATGACATGTTTGCAAACAAATTGGTTTGTTACGCACTGAAATTGAAAGCGTAAACTAATTTCCTATACTCAGAATAACAGATAATCTCCCTCCATTGCACCCAATTTGCTCACATGATTTAGAAATGTTAACAGCATAATTAACTCTCACATAAACAAAAAACGCTTTCTATGTTAATTTTACATAAATTCTCTTAATAGAATTTGTGCTAGAAAATAGGCCAAACCAGCTTGCTGAAGCAAAAAAACATCATTTTATGACACCTTACAGATTGCTGTATGCTGTAAATACAAAATCTAAATCCATCCGACACTTACCACCAGATATATGGGAAATGTGCTTTTTGGTTTGAAGTCCTCCAGTCTGCACAGTATTGGGAAGATCTTCTGTTTCCAGATCTCTACAGTGATTAATTCTTGAATAAGAGTTGGAATCTAACAGGAAAAAAGTGTTCCACTTTAATGTATTGTCGAAGGCTTTCATGGCTGGAATCACTCAGTTCTTGTGGGTTTTTTCGGGCTATATGGCCATGTTCTAGAGGCATTTCTCCTGACGTTTCGCCTGCATCTATGGCAAGCATCCTCAGAGGTGAGGTCTGAGGTATGGCAAGCATCCTCAGAGGACCTCACCTCTGAGGATGCTTGTCATAGATGCAGGCGAAACGTCAGGAGAAATGCCTCTAGAACATGGCCATATAGCCCGAAAAAACCCACAAGAACTGAGTGTTCCACTTTAATATTATATATATGAAGGTGTGAATTATAGTTACATGATGGGGAAAATGCAAGATATATGATTTCTCTCTTAGGGATTATCATAAAGATAAAACATTGAAGGAAGAAAGCTTTTTCTCATTTTACTCATTTTATGTAGAAAAAAGGGATATATAACTCTGTGTGGAATAAACTTCCCAGTATCATAACCATTTAATTAATTTTCATGTATGATTTCAGGCTCTGAGTGTATATCAAAATACAGATCAATTATTATGTGATGCACACTCCTGTAAGTCACAATAAGAGTACTTTAAAATGTTGATGAAACAGATTATTTCTGCCTTATCAATGAACACTTATAAGTGGAGTGGAAACTGGAATCAATATTTGCCCTTATAATTACAATGTAATTAAAAGTCAATGTACTTCATCACATCTTGGAAAAAATTGTGGTCTTCCAGATGTTGTCGAACTATAACCTCCTTTAGCCCTGATCATGGGTGATGGAGACTGTCGTCTAAAATATTTGGAGGACATCAGTTGGGAGAAGGCTAATAGAAACAACCTTAGAGAAATATCAAATCTCAGTTGACTGTAGTTCATGAGAACATTGCCTCTGTCACCAATCAAGCTGAATGTACCATGCATTTGTTCTTGTGTGCCTTTAAGTCATTTCCAACATATAGTGACATTAAGGCAAAATTATTATGACTTATTTATTGGGTATCATTGTGTGTGTATCATCATCATCATCATAATCATCATCTTATTTATACTCCGCTTTATCTCCTCAAAGGGGAATCAAAGTGCCTTGACATAAAAGCACTGGCATCCAATTTAAGATATACAAATATACAAACATTAAAACAGAATTACACATAAATAGTATTTTAAAAATTCAGTTAAAATCCACCAAACATATTCAAAGCTTTGTTCAGATTTGTTCAGAGGGGGTTGTATTTGCTATATGATTTATTTATTATTTATTTTATTTTCTTCATTTCTACCCTGCCTTTCTTGACCCCAGAGGAGATTCAAGGCGGCTTACAAATCTGACAAAAAATTAATGCTGCACAGATAAACAATAAAACACATCCCATCAAAATATAAAACAATCTAAACATATAAGCAATTAAAATACATATCAATCAATCAAACAGGTTAAAAACCATCTAAAATACTGAATCATGACTTGCCAAAGGTTAGCCAGGGGGTTCCCATGGCTGAGCAGGGATTTGAACCCTGTACAGAGTCATTGTACAATGCTCAAACCACTACACAACATTGGTTCTTGAATGAAAGCTGCAGGCTGCATTGTACCATACCTTGGCATTATTCACAAGAAGTTCAGTGAGGAGTTGCTCATGGCCAGCAGAAGCACTTAGGATTGCCTGCATATTCAGCTTCTCAATATATTCATGCTGACGTAACCACCTGAGAAACAGGGTGAGAATAGTCAAAACTCTGGCCCTAACCTTGACATCATCTCTTCTGAGTGACCAAAGATAGACACAACTAAAGATGAATTCAAATTATTCTGGACTACACCTTCTGCCATTTTAAAACACGGGTATACATTGTTTCTTTGTTAAACAATTTATTCCGTCAATAGGCAGGCATGATATATTTTTAAAAATTAGAATTAACAACTAGGATATTTTTTGTGTCTGCTTTTGGAATGAGAAACTCTTCTGCTAATGGGAGAGGCAGAGAGAGAAGTCACTATGGTGTTGTTCCCAACTGGGAAAGACAAGGCTGGGAGTTCGTCTGAAGCTGAAAGGATTCTAGGGGACTGAGTAGCTGCTTTTTAGGAACTCTATCACATTGTAAAAATGTCATAAATCTTCAGGGTTCTCTAATCTGAAGGAAACTTAATCCTATTTAGTCTTCCACTTCTACACTTCAGAAAAGAGGAACAAGTAACTCTACCTGAAAACCCGTGGTTCACTGATTTTGCAACCATGCCCTCTGATTTTCATCATGTTTTATTCTGGAGTTGCAACTAGGCTAGCTCATATCTACACTATTGACATGATTTAGATCCACATTTTCCAAAACACAGCTAGTTGAATAGCATTAAAAAAACAGTCTCTCACCAAATGCCATTTACCCTCTCAGTACAGAATACATGGAAAGGTGATTTATATAGTTAAAATATAAAGTTAATAAATGCATGCTGAGCATAAAATATAATGTAGATATAGTTAAAATATAAAATTAATAGTTGCATCTCAAGCAGAAGTCCAAAAGGTTTAATGGAACACTATGCTTGATCTCTGTTTATCACACAGATGATAAAGACAAAGGGATCCCATCTCCAAGAAAGCCTGGGATGTAAACATGTGGGCTGGAAAGTAGTCATTCTGGATTAACATGCCATGCAAAAGCCAATGTGTGGAAGGGGACATACATTTGGCTTTCCCGAAGTGCCTTTGGAGAGTGACCATATATTCCAGTCCTGTTGTTTCACCTACACTGTTTTCCTCATATTGCACTTCCCCCGCCTTATTGAAAGTCTAATCCCACTGTTCAGTCCCCTACGAGCTCCTCCCTCACAAATATACCATTTTCATTGCTATCTCATCCAGAATTTTATCATTTTATGTCGTGCATTTGGCCCACCCACTGTGTTTGATTTTCCATTGTGTTATTTTGAACTGTTTATTTTACTTGATTGGGTTATTTATTTTATTGTGGTGTTATTTTGTTGTTTATATTTTATGTTGCTGTAATGCATCTCTGGGCTTGGCCTCATGAAAATAAATAAATATTATTATTTGAAACACCACAAGATGAGTCTACAGCAGACACTCTGCTGGCTGTTGCATTGGATCACACGTCAGACACTTCCCAATTGTCTAGGACTGTGTGATGTATCGGCGAAAGATGGGTGCAGATCCCAGTAAGATGGCCTTCTGCAGCTGGCAGATGATAATTTTGTCAGCGCTGATTGTGTTTAAGTGCAGGCCAAGGTCTTTAGGCACTGCACCCAGTGTGCCGATCACCACTGGGATCATCTTGACTGGCTTGTGCCAGAGTCTTTACAGTTTGATCTTTAAATCCTCATATAGTGTCAGTTTTTCCAGTTGTTTCTCTGCAATCCTGCTGTCACCTGGGATTGCGACATTGACGATCCATACTTTGTTTTCTAACACGATTATTATTATTATTGTTATTATTATTATTATTATTATTATTGTTATTATTGTTTAATTGTGTCTCCTTTGTGGAAATAAAAGCAAGGTATAAATAAACATAATAAACATAATAATAATTCCTGAGGGGACTCAACTATATACCAGGCCCCTTTCACACATCTTTATAAAATCCACACCGACCTGGATTATATGGCAGTGTGGACTCAAATAACCCAGATTAAAGCAGATATTGTGGATTATCTGCCTTGATATTTTGGGTTATACGGCTGTTTGGAAGGGTCCTCAGGTTCCTTCTGAACTCATGGGAAGAAGTGGATCTACACCATGCCTGGGTCAACTTGGGCCCTCCAGGGGTTTTGGACTTCAACTCCCACCATTCCTAACAGCCTCAAGCAGGCCCGTAGCCAGGATTTCGTTTCGGGGGGGGGGGGGGGGGGGGAGGGGCTGAGTCTGAGTGAAAGAGGGTCTAGCCTAGCAAACCTTTTGTATCATTACCCCAATACCCCCATGCATATGGGATATATTGAGCATGGTGATCAGATCATGATATGAATAAACATAACAGTTTAAATAATGTACCAGTAAGGCCTTCTTGCGGGACCACCATGAGAATTGGGGGAGGGGAGCTCAAGCCCCTCAAGCCCCCCCCCCCCGCTACATGCCTGGCCTCAAGCGGCTGAGGGGGAAAAGGGAGGGGCCAAGTTTGCCCAGGTCTGGTGTAGATCCACTTCTGAGGCTGTCAGGAATGGTGGGAGCTGAAGTCCAAAACACCAGGAGGGCCCAAGTTGGCCCAGGCCTGGTGTAGACGCACCCTCAGCCTCCTAAGCGCCTCTTCCGCGGCAACGAGGCTACTCTGGTTTTCCCAGGGCGCCTCATACCTGTGGCCCCCGATCTCCCGTAGTTGGAAGGTTCTCAGCGACTCCACCAAGGCCTCGACCTCGCCGGGCAGCAGCAGGTCAGCCGGGAAGGGCTCCTCCATGGCGGCGCCTTCAAAAGCAGGCAGGCGACCAGGCGGGCGGGGGAATCCAGGAAAGGACGCGGTCGCTATGGGAACGGGCCCCGGCTGCCGTAGCACGCGCGCCCCCTAGCGGCACGAGGCGGCCACGAGGCCCGCCTCTCTTGGGAGGAAAAGGATGCTGGATCGTGTGGCATGTTGGGCAAATCACTCCCTCCCTGCAATGTCTTTGGCAGATTCCTTCCTCCTTCATTTGAGAAATGAAGGAGGCATTTTTTCACATTTCTGAAACATCTGCCATATTTCCTTTCAAGGTCAGAGGCCTGCTATTTTTAATATGTATTTATTTATCGTGTCAGGAGCAAGCCAAACAGTTGTATTGCATTTATAACAAACCAAACAAAACACAAAGTTTGCAAGCTTGGTAGTTGATTAAATGTCCTTTGACCAGTAGCTGGCCACTTGGAGTGCCTCTGGTATTACTATAAGAAAGTCCTCCATTGTGCATGTGGCAGGGCTCAGGTTGCATCGCAGCAGATGGTCTGTGGTTTGCTCTTCTCCACACTCACATGTCGTGGATTCCACTTTGTAGCCCCATTTCTTAAGGTTGGCTCTGCATCTTGTGGTGCCAGAGCGCAGCCTGTTCAGCGCCTTCCAAGTCGCCCAGTCTTCTGTGTGCCCAGGGGGGAGTCTATCATTTGGTATTGGTTCTGGGTTTGAGCCTGCCACTTTTGGACTCTTGCTTGCTGAGGTGTTCCAGCGAGTGTCTCTGTAGATCTTAGAAAACTATTTCTTGATTTAAGTCATTGACGTGATGGCTGATATCCAAACGGGATTTGCTGGAGATGCCACTGCCTTGGTCCTTTCACTATTGGCTGCTACTTCCCGGCAGATGTCAGGTGGTGCAATACCGGCTAAACAGTGTAATTTCTCCAGTGGTATAGGGTGCAGACACCCTGTGATAATACGGCATGTCTCATTAAGAGCCACATCCACTGTTTTTGCATGGTGAGATATGTTCCACACTGGACATGCATACTCAGCAGCAGAGTAGCAAAGCACAAGGGCAAATGTCTTTACTGTGTCTGGTTGTGATCCCCAGGTTGTGCCAGTCAGCTTTTGTATGATATTGTTTCTAGCATCCACTTTTTGCTTGATATTCAGGCAGTGCTTCTTGTAGGTCAGAGCACAGTCCAGGGTGATTCCCAGGTTACTCTGGGAGTGACTCCCAGAGTGACTCCTACTGGTGCAATGCTCCAGTGGGATTCTTTCTCAGGTGATCCTCAGAGCTCGGGATGCTTCTCTGTTCTTAAGGTGAAAAGCACATGTCTGTGTTTTAGATGGATTTAATATGTAAAATAATTTTGAGTATAATCTGCACCTCAGGTATGTTTTACTTTCTCAATAATAACATACACTTCATTTTATTCCATTGCAAATATCAGTGTCTGGTTGCTTTCCCCATTGTTGCTGCAGAAAGAAATGATGTTTATTGCTGTAACTCTGTAAAATACCACTTTCCTTACGTGTTACAAAAGAATAGGAAAAACTCAAAAGTAAAATGAATCAACACAATGGTAAGAAATTACATTTTCAGCTTTATTTTATTTAGATTATCATAATACATTTTTATTAAGCACTTTATTATATATAAAGGAATGGTACTTTTTGCTTACACGATAACAGGATATCCGAAACATATCTGCAATTGGTTTGTTAAAAAGGTAGCAAGGGAAAAGATCAATTGTAAACTTTTGGAAGAACTCAAGAAGAGATGGTCCATCCTAAACCAAGTGGATTCAGCACATGTTCCTTTGCATTTAGGAGATGTAATCAACACTGAGAAAGAAGTAATTAGCTTTTGCCTGTCCCTCAGGGACAAATTACACGTGACCCTAAGCTGAGGTCAAGAGGAATTTAAGTCATTCTCTATCAGCTACTCTTTGGCTTCTAAAATCCCCCAAAATTCCAAATAGCTGGAGGCCCCAGCTATGTGTTTACCTGTAAAACTATACATCTGGTAGGATATAGAGCTGAAAAGAATGACTGATCTGCACCACTATTCAGCATCACAACCTTCTAATCGGGATTATTTTTTTTCAAAAATAGATGTCGGCACTTATATATACTTGTGTTTTGCCCCTCATGGTAATGGGAGTCATGCTTTATCCACATTGATCATCCCAAATTTGTTTATCAAAGCTATCAAAGTCCATTTAGCTTATTCTTCCTAGGCTGCTGGACTGAAAAATGTGCCCCATGTCAGACATACTGAGCCATGTTGCATTTAATGGCTTCAGAAGAAACCCTGAAGCTTCTTCAAAATCCTAAGAGCCCCATTAATTGTTCACAGGCCATGATGATTCCTCCTGTCCGTGAAGTTTCATTTCCAGCAAACAATTATATTGGGGTCATTCTCCAATCTTTCATCCAGCTCCCGATAGCTCATTCCTATGAAGGAAGCACAATATAACAGTGAAAGAGGATATTCAATATTAATCTGACTTCCTCAGCAGAATTTAGGTGACACAAGAAGAAAGAGCAACTAGTATGACAAAGAGAAACAGGTAAAAGTGTTCTACAATAGACATGTTTTCTATTTGTTATTTTCTTGCTTCGTTTGAGTGTTGGACTATGATTTTGAAGACCAGTTCAAATCCCCTCAGCCATGGAAACCCATTGTATGATCTTCAGCAAGTCACACAGCCTCAGAGGAAGGCTAAAGCAACTACCATCCCCCTGTGGACAAATATTTAAAAAGTCCATAAAAGGTTTGCCTTAGGGTTGCTATTAGTGTTGGGTGTCCCTGGGTGGCAAGAATAGTCCTTGTGGTCTTTTTTTGAGTGATGGTCACTCCTTGGGTTAGTAGGTGTCTTGTGGCCAAATTTGGTGGCAATTCGTCCAGTGGTTTTTGAGTTAATGTTAATCCCACAAACGAACGTTACATTTTTATTTATATAGATTCAGTGCCTTATGACTCTACAGTAGTGGTTCCCAACCTTTTTTTGACCAAGGACCACTTTGACAAGGGTCTAGTCCCCAACATTCGAACCAAAAGGGTTATGAATCAGTTTTTGGTCAATTTTAGATTTTGTTTGGTTATTTCAGGTGCTAATTCAGATAATTGCATTGGATAGACCACATTGGTTCTTGTTTGTGATACAGAACATATGCCATCCAGTAGTCAGCATCGCTTTAGTTGTAATGGTGTAGTAGTTCTTGCGGACCACTGGTGGTCCACGGACCACAGGTTGGGAACCACTGCTCTTCAGCAATTTGAGAAAGCAGAGACACATACCTGTTTTACAACAAATTTCATCATAGCTATGGCAGCCTGTATACAGTCGTGCTGGATGACTTCTTTCATCCCGAGAGATTTTTACAGGGTACTTTTGGAGCCGTCGAATAAGGCCCTTCATCAGACCAAATTGGATCAGCTTCCTGGAAAAGAGAAACAAACTGCTCATAGACAAGCTAGGCAAAACAATGTTCAGACAAGGCTTACTGCTTTTTTTGTACTGGTCTTCTGTTGAGCGAGATATGCGGCAATTCTGAGGCTGCTGGGGAATGTTCCAACCCTTTTGGCTGCACAATACAGTTAATGGACAATGAGTGCAGATAGCATTTTTTCTGAGGACTTTATCCTAATCCTATCATTTTGTCTGTTATTTTAATCCTTTCTATAACGTTTTTGTGCTGTTAATATAAACATGATATAAGAAAATGCTGGAATAATCTAATGGAAATTTAGTATTTCTCAATTAGAATAGCACTGAATCAACTATTAAATGCTAATGCGACAGACAAATCTCATTAATTTAATGGATCTACTCTAGTTGGAACTTATTTTTGCAATCAAGTCAACTTTGACCTATGGTGGCACAATGAATGAGAGATCTCCAAGAGCAACTAGATTTAGACCCAAATGAAATCAATTACCACTGTTTATTGGAATATATTCCAGAGCTAATGTTCATCCCATATAAAATTGAAAGATAGATGCAACAATTTAAATATTAAATTTCATGATGTTATCAAAGTCTTGAAAACAATTCTCTTCTATTTGTGGGCAATACTTGTAAAACATTGTTTAAGATTTCATCAGGCCACTGTTAGTCAGAAAAATTACTTTGATGGCTAAGTCAAGTTTGTGGGCCACCAGTGAGCCATTTCTACTTTACAGACATAAGATTATTTTCTGCTCCAAGCTCTGCAACATTTTCCATGTGCCTTTCATCAAGGGCCTTCTCACAGCTACTACTGGTATTATTATTAATAAGGCGATAGGTAATTTTGGTTTTGCTTCCCTTTTTGCAAAACTGAGTGTTCCTTTTTGTATTCCTACAACTGGGAGAGTAGATTTTTCTCAAAAACCTCGCAGAGTCCTAAAATGGTGGGGTAACGAGGCAAAGGGTTCCTTGGTGAAGTTCATGAGCCTGACACCCGATTCTGTAAACCTTCTCCAGCCTTCTAAAAATTGTTGTGAAAGAGACCATTGGAAAAGAAAAACATTGACACTCACCTGCCACATAAGCTAATAATTGTTAAATAATAATGTCCCAAAGAGGGGAGAGCACAACCTAACCTTTCATCCACTCTCTGGATTTGAAGAGTATAGCGGCAAATGAGATCTCGAACGGTCGTGCCAGGGCTTAGCCCACAGTACAGCTGGAAAATATCTCTCAGACTGGGTCGCTTGTTACCTATATAAAAATCGTAGTAAAATAAAATCAAGACACAATTCGGAAACATTTGGCAATCACAAAAGCTGGCAATCCTTTAATGAAATTATCTCGTGTGCGTACATAGAAAATATCACATGAAAAAATTAATATTTCATAATGGCATTTATGATCTGTAAGGTGTATAAAATTAACAAAAATACCCTTCATATGAAAAGTTTCATTGAAAAATGACAAAGTTTATCGAGTAATAACTGGACCTAAAAAGAACCCACATCTAGTAGTAAATTGGTAGGCTAAGTGCAAATTCATAAACACTGCCAAATGTGGTCCACAGAACTGCTGCTTTTAATGATGATACCACCAATTAAATAGATACATTTACATTTCTTTGGAGCTGGAGATCAGCCAGTGGCAGATGTATGCAATTCTATGCCAAACAACATTTTTCATATGATTAATTCAGTGGTAGATTCACAGCTCTGGAAATCCACATCTATAATAAAGTCTTTCACTAAATAGCCTTATGCAAATAACACTTCATTTTATGCTGAATTTCTAAAGTGATGTTAACAAGAAGAGGAACAGCCAGTTTTCTAGGTAGGGATAAATATTTGATAAATGCTTCTAGTTAGCTAAATCCTTAGATTGCAATCCTATGCATACTTCCCCAGATGTTAAGCCCCACTGAACTTAGTATGGCGTATCTCCTGCAGTCTGAGACCCAGGCTTCCATACCTGGCTTTGTGACATATGAGAGACATTCGTCTTGGAGACTTTTATCATCAACCAGGTCCTGGACTTTAGGTGTGGTGCAATACACATTGGAGTACTGAGAGGAAAGTGAGAAATCTGTCAGATTCAAGAGAAATTCAAACTTAAATAAAAATCACAATGATTCCTTGACAAGAACACCCCAAAGACAGTACACAGTATAATCTGCATAACCTCTGGGCAAAAAAATGGGAAAATTAAAACTGCAGGACAAAGCTGCACCTAGCACTAGAATAGAGTATTAGTACGTGCCTACTGTAAGAACTTTGCAAAAAAGTATTTCTGAAAAAAAAATTCACTTTGTGACCACAAGTTGGACAATGAATACCTCCTGTTGAAAAAACTATTTGAATGCAGGGGAATTGTGGCTTTCATTTGTCACAGCTTCTTAAACTGTGGCTCAATGATGGAGTCACGAAAGATTTTGCAATAGTTAAAAAAGTCTCCTCGGGGAGATAGGGTGGGTAATAAATAAAGTATTATTACTATTTATTATTGTTAAGAGGTTTTTAATGTCACCTAGTGGCCATTGTAGACATTTACATGAATCTGTTAGCTACAACTTGCAGTGTTTATACTGGACTCTGCAGAGAATGTTTCAGCTGTCCTTCATAAAAAGGAAATCGGCCTATTTAGCAAGCCTTGCAAATACTGATGCCTCAAATGTTAGACTTGTTTCTGGGTATATTTCACCTGCTGATTCCAAAAAGGCACCTGTTTCTTCCTATCAGCTTTAGTTTTTGAGATACAAAACATATACCACATACCAGTTGCCATCTGCTCACCCATAGAAAACTATGAAAACCATATCTAAGAAAGTAGAGCCGATGCAGTCTATCCAACGCAATTTCTTTTGAAACAGTGCCCCAAATAAGGACAAAATCCAAGGCACTAAGAATTTTTAGGAGATTGGGCTGTGTTATCAGTAAGTGCTTGATTTTATACTTATTTTATATAATCATATACTTTGGGTTGCAGAAAAACTTCTGGATGGAAAGGGGTCTTGAGTAGAAACCCTGGGCTACATTAATTCATATCGGGAGTAAAAAAAACAACAACAGTAATCAAAGTAAAAAGAAAACAGATTTAAAAATGTCCCAGAGTACTGTTAAATTGCACACAATTTTTTCTATAGGATATAGAACATTGCAAAATAAAACACATTTTAAAACTGTTATACATTGAAACTGTCCATAGAACTTGGAGCCCTGGATTGTGGAGTTGTCACTGCATGATCTAAATCCACAAACAATTAATCTCTTTTCTTTTGCTGTTTGTTCTTGTAGCAATTGCATCACACTGTAAATAGATGAACTAGACACCAATTGCTTAAAATCACCAAGTCCCTGATTTTGAACCCCTTACTCACCTGAAGTATGGAAACGAGAGTCACTACTCCATAGTACCTAGAAAACATCAAGGTTGTGAGACATTAACCAAGAGACTAAATTTTATACCTATGGCAAAAATAAAAGGAATGCAAGAGACACTTGTATGTAGTGGTACAAACAGTTTCCAAGAATATTTGTTGTCCTTTTTAGACACATAGCACAACCATTTCGTTGGGAGTGTTTTCAGTATACTTGAAATATATCAGTTGTGCCCAAAATAGTATTAGATGAGTGGTAGAAAATGTGTGTAATTCCCAAAATAAACAGAACTTAATTTCTAAGATTGGTGTGATGAGATTTTATCCTTATCTGACAAGCAAAAAAAAAAGTGAGTGTTGAAAAGCTAGGAAGGAAGTTACAGGTTTACATGCTGCAGCAATAAGAAATGTGAATGAAATCCCAAATAAGCTGAAATAGCTGGGATGATAAATAAATCATCTGAAGCACGAGAGGATTGTTTTCTTTTTTTACAGCATTCTCCCTCTCCTTCAATTTTCACAAACACTACAGCTTGCAGGGAGGGGAAATTTGATCCCAGCATCAATCTCAATTGCTTTTAGCCACAGGAAAAACATTCCTATTGACGCCAACAGAAACGTTTTCTAGAGCTGAAAGCAACATGCTGGGAGCACTTTTTGTTGAAATTGTAGCTGCCTGCTACTATCCTAATAAACAGCCAGGTCCTTGCACACCTCCCATTGATGTTTAAAATCTATTGTGTTCAAGTGAGACCTTTTCATTTTTGTTTTTTTGCATTACATGGATTTATTTCTCAATCCAGGGACACTGAATGGAGAGAGCTAAATGAAGAGGAGAGCACAACATCACAGAAGCCTTTTGCTCAAACCAAGCAGTTCACTCTCCTTTTTGCATCTGACACTCACAAAAGGTTCTGGATGGCAATGCGAACCAAATTAAGCTCCACATCTGCTTCGGCTGAGATTTTCTGAACATGCCGGAATCCATCAATGTAAGGCAAGATCTAGAAGGAAAATGCCAATAAAACAAAACTAAACAGAGATGCACAAATTGAGTCCCCATGGAGAGGAAGGCAGGGTATAAATAAAGACAATAAATAAATAAGCATGTGAAGAACACTTTTCACAACTTAAACTGTGAAGACAAAACAAGACAATTCTGGTGAAGAATCTTTATACATAATGATCACTGAGAAAATATCTCATCAAGAGTTTATGAATACACGAAGACACCCCCACCCCAATAGTATGAGACCTTAACCAAAATGAAAAAAGCAAGATGAACTATGCACGTATTTACTCTAAAATATATTCCATTTAACTGTATGTCATGACATGTGAACTAGCATTTAATTCTGTGTGGGGAAAGTGTTGCGCTCCAGACTCGAACTGCCATACAGCATAGCCAGTGGTACAGGATGATGGCAGTTGCACTCCAACTATATCTGGAAGGTCATACATCGTTCTCCCTGAAATATAGAATCGGGCTTGCCAAACAGAGACTTCCCAGTGACAACCCAATGATTCAGAGGCCAGATTGCTTCATAAACCTTTTGAGGTCAAATCAAGATAATTTTATTTTAGAGGGCAGCACTTGTGAAAGAAGTTGTGACTGATGTTGTAGCATTATTTTGTAAAATCACAGCAAGGGACAAGCTCCCTCCCTCCCATGTGTACTCACCTGCTGAGTGGTGAGGTCCCACTGGGAATTGTAGAAGTCATCCTTGTCCTGGGTGAAGACAGGAACATCATACTCCTGCACAATGGGGGGATCGGGGCGCTGCTCAATCACTTTCAGGTGGATGGTGTTGGATTCGTCTGTAGGAAAGAGCCAAGTAAGATGAAGGGGATTTGTGGGATTGGGACTGGTAGGCTACTGGACTGCACTGTTGCTTCTCCATAGGAACAGTACAAATGATCTGGTTGCTGTGGGTTTTTCAGGTTGTATGGCCATGTTCCAGTAGAATTCTCTCCTGACCTTTCACCTGCATCTGTGGCTGGCATCTTCAGAGGTGAAATGTCAAGAGAGAATTCTACTGGAACACGGCCATACAGCCCAATAACCCCAAATCAACCCAGTGTTTCTGGCCATGAAAGCCTTTGATAATAAAACAACCTCTACCTTCCCTATCCATCCGAAATCTGAATTTCAGTGCATCAAACAGGCCAGCTGGATGGCCAATGGCAAGTGATGGGGGAAAGAAATTTTCCAGTGAATCATTCTTTAGCTATCACTTTGTTATCCAACTACTGCAGTTAGTACAGAGTAATCTAAAATTAAAATTCTAAACTCAGATCATTCAAATAAAGACCACTGGAACTTTCTTTTCCAATAAATGTAACAAGAAACATAAGGATTCTTTACAAAAATCTGCTTCTTCCAAGAAATCACAACCTTGCATATCAATGTTTTTTTTTAAAAGCTGCAATCTGCATTAGTGTATTTGTTAACACTACCTATGGGTAGAGTGCATTTGCCAGTGGCATTCAGTTCCTCAAGTAAGATGGTCATGATGGGTATCAACTTTTGCTTGCTGTCCTCGTTGGAAATGAAGCCACTCTCCAGCTAGGAAAGAACAAAAAAAAAAAACCCTACCATAAACTTAAATGAACATATGTTACACTAGCAATACAGTGGACAGAGAATATTCCACATATAGAAAATAAGGTTTCTTCATGGAGAATATGTCTGTAACTCTTTTACAATCATGACAAACATGTTTGTTTACATTGTAATAAATACACTCTCAGCAGTACAATAGGTTCCCCCACATTTGCAAGGGATACAGGTCCAGGACCCCTGTGAAAGTGGGGAAACCATTATTTTAAAAGTGCAAGGGGTTTTTTTTTAGCTGAGAGAACACTTGTCTACATCCTCCAGTGCAACTGTGGAAATTTACTAATGAATTGTCCTGGATGACCTACAAATAGGTAGGGAAGTTTTCTCTCTATGACTCTCAGGTTCTGAACATACACACCCTTGAAACAGTAACAGAAATACATGGTTTTTGAAACACTAGAACAGCTGCAAGGAATAAAGTAATTGTGGGCTACTTATTCTTTTTAACGACTACAGGAATAATCTTGGGACAAAGCAGGTAAACACTGACAATTTACAAGCCTACACAGTTTACTGAAAAGATAGTGCAGTTGTTTAAAAACAATTGCAAATTACATGAAGAGGCAGTGGGAATGTGTCACTAATGACGTCACAGGCGCTGTCCAATAGTCACATAATATTTATCACAGTAGAAATGATTGTATGTTTGGTTGTTCTGTTCCAAAGTTTATCAGGCACTTTTCAAGTGCTGACAAAAGTCATGAAAAACCCAGCCTGCCGGCAATAAAAAAGCAAAATAAGATAAATCAAGGACAAGTGTGCTTCCACATTACTAAAATCATGTAACCCATCTATACCCTTGGCAGGGAAATTCATACTATGTCTAACCTCTAGAGTGGTAAGATAACCTGCCAGTTTCTTCACAATAGGCTCTAATGCACAGGTCTTTGCTCTGGCATCACAAACAAAGCCAAGGTTGAAGAGCAAGGCATTCCGGCTGTATTTCTTATGTTCAATACACACTGGGCACCCAATTAGCTTTTTATCCATTGCTGTGCTGTTAAAAAGAAATAATTTCATGGTTATTAAATGTAATTTCAATAGCATTTACTTTAGCAAAGTATGCAATGTACTATGTAATTGCATTTGAAGAAGCAAAAACTTGTGACAATCCTATATTAGTTCCTCTACAATCTAAATTATTTTATACACTAGAACTCCCTGCTATGTTTAATCTATTTTGCTTCATCTAGATTTTCCCAATTGTTAGTTCCATCTGTCTTTGGATCAGGCATGTAAAGATGCAAGTTTCAAGGTGTGTATTCCTAATGGGGTGGGCAGATTTTGAGCACAAATGGTGTTACAAATCCGATTTTCATATGTAGTCTGGTAGCAAGTGTGATATACTGTACATATTTCCTCAATTCTAAGACACACTCTTTCCTATATAAACATATCTAAACATGGGGCCTTTTTATATATGTAAAAAGCTTCTTTTTCTTTTTCGGTGGCACTGAAATTAGTGTATGTCTTACAGCCAATGGTGTTTTAGAACTGAGGAAGTATACATTTTGGTCCATCTACCTACCTGGCCCAGCAAATGGAAGAAACTAATAGGCTAAAATCCATACACACAGATCTCTAGTTGCTAAGTGTATGCATAATTAGATTAGGCCTTGTACCCACTGAGTGAATTACCTGTAATTTACCATTTATCAAGAGGGTAAATTTCTTAAAACTACTACTAGAACAATGATTTCTTCTTATTTCTTTCCTAGTATCACATTTATTCTGTCCTAGACAGAATAATTTCATGTTCTCAGTTTAATATTAAACAGTTTACTAGATGGGTTGAATGGCAAACCTACGAATTCATCTACCACCCCATTTCAGAGATGGTGACTTTGAAGTAAGTCTAAATAAATTCAATATGAACAATTTTGCAAGTAAGAAATCTTGGTTATTTCTTTGACAAAAACAGAAGTAACCATGTATTTACTGATCGGCTGATTTCCAAAATTAACACACTTCCCTCAGAACGTGGATGCATTATTTGTAAAATGTAAAATGAAGTTTTGATCTCTGAGGTCCAGGCTACCTTTGGCTTTCCATTATGATTCCTAATTAAAATGTTCACTTCTTTCCCCAGTCTAATCTAATGGTATATAGAAGAAGACAAGACTGCTTAATTTCGATTTGGAAACATGCTAGATCAGGCTTTTATATATCCATGCTATATGTACTGGAAGCAACAGATTACAAATTGGAGGGATGGAGGAAGAGGGAAGAAACTGCAATGGCTGGGTGGTGAAGGGAAAAGCTACCTGCCCAAGTTGCATTCATATCAGCACACAATTGAGACCAGGCAAATTATAGAGGCAGAAAATCTCAGAAGAACTGTTCTCACATCCTGACAATCTAATTGAGGACAGGAAACTAAAGTTAAAGATATGATGTTTAATGAGCATGACGAAAGGACAATTAATATCTTATAACACTCACATGGCAACAACTAAAAAACACCAATTTTCTGTCCATAATCCTGGGTAATACTTACACTGTGATGAGCTTGTTTTGAAGTTCAGGCTTAGTGATGATATATACCTGAACTGTGTCAAAGAGCTCTCGGGAGATGAAATCCTCTGGTACCTGCAGGGGGAAGAGACCATTGCAAGTAAATAAAAAAGCTAAATGAAAAAAGAATGCGAATTTAGAGAAACCACAATTTCTAAGATAAGGTAACATCTCAAAATATGTTTTTATAAGCCTTTCTCACTGCCCGTTATATTAATATAAACACTAAGCGTGTTTCTGCAATTATAGTAAATATTTTGTTTTAATTCCCTGCACAAGCCATGCAACCCTGGACAAAGCTTTCCCTGTAGCGGCGCCTTGATTATGGAATGATCTCTCCTTAGAGGCCCCATTAGCCCATACCTTGACATCATTTAATGAACATCTTTCAGAAGTGCTTTAGTTGAGTATTCCTGTATGTCAGGAAGCTGGATTAGATGGCACCTGTGGTCCTTTCCAATTAAGAGTGCATCTACACTGTAAAGGCAGTTTGACACAACTTTAGCTGCGATGATTCAATGCTGTGGAATTATGGGAGGTGTAGCTTACTGAGACAGCACCACTCTTTGGCAGAGTGGAGTTTTTGTAAAAGGTTTTGTAAAACTACAACTCCCATGATTCCATAGCATCAAGCCATGGGAATGAAAGTGGTGTCAAACTCCATTAATTCTACAATGTAGATGCACCCTAAGATTTTATGATCTGGTGATTTCAGTGCCAAGTTATAACAGCTTAAAAAATTAAAACCATTGTGGTTTCACAATTTTACCCAGCTTATATCTACATATGTATTTAATTTTGTTTAATTTGTTAGGCATTTTCGAATGTTCTTATCATGTACATTATTTTTACTGCTTCATATATTAAATGATTTCAAATAGTTTAGACTGTTTTTATTGACATGGCCTTAAGATTTGGGGCAGGATATAAGCAAAAAAAGTCTTGGTTTTTAAACAAAGGAGGTATATTCTCCCATCCTTCCAAAGTTATGTACAGTTAGAAAATGAGATGAAAACCATTCTTCAAATAGTGGAGCACAGCTGTAGGAAAGGGTGTAGTTGAGATGCTGTTTGTGAAAAACAAGGACCTCTGCATAGCTGTAGAGCCCAGGTTTATCATGTAGAAAACCTCACCTTTAAATCCAAGCATTTTTAGTCTAATGCAGAAAACATTTTGTCTAAGATCCTAGACTGCAGCTGCCAATTCTAATAGAAAAAACTAAGCTCAAAGGACAAAGTGCCTGGGGGCCCATCCACACAGCCATATAACCCAGAATATCAAGGCAAATATCCTACAATATCTGTTTTGAACTGGGTTATCGGAGTCCACACTGCCATATAATCCTGTTCATAGCAGAAACTGTGGGATTTTATTCAGCTGTATGGAAGCGGCCTGGGACAGTATAAGACAGAACTGATGTTTCCCCTGCCAGTAATTCTAGCGTTCCATTTAAACACCCCAAATCATTGGTATTACAAACCTGGTATGTTATTTTAGGTCCAAGTGTTGGATGGAATTCACTGAAAAATATGCACTCAATTCTGCTGCTTATTTCCATGGTGATAACTACAAAAGATCAAACAGAGAACTGATGACAAATGCCCCACTGAGTATCTTCATTTTAAATTCTGAATGATAACTTTTAAGACAACATAAACTACCTTTAATTTCCTAATAACATCCTGTCTGAAAGGCCTGTAAATTTTCTGACCATTTTGTAACTTCTGGATCACGAATAAAGGAGTTAACCTGTCAATGTCCCCATCTATACTGGTATTGGAGACAGTGGTTTCGCTGTGCAGGTAAAATTCCTGAAACCAGCTAGAGGCCCGAATGGGGCTTATTACACAAACCACAGAGCAGATTACGGGCCTTTGTCGTGTTTTTGTGGGAGTTCGTTGACTGGCTGCAGCAGTCTGAGGCTAGCTTTGAGCTGTGTTAAACAGAGTACCTGCTGTTAGGAATTGTGGGAGTTGAAGTTTAAAACACTTGGAGGGATGACATTTGCCCATGCCTGGTGTACATTCTGCTCATTCCTTTATTAATTTATATATTGCTTTATCTCTCCATACGGAGACTCAAAATGGATCAAGCTCAAAAATATTACAACTTAAAATACACTATAATAAAACCATATATTTTCTATATTATCATATACCGACAGAAGTAATTACATTTTATATATTAATATTACTATATTACATTATTATTACATGTTATTATATTGTATTATTAGTAGTATTATATTGTATTACATTCTTCCAACTCTTTGATTCTATGATTCTATGATTATATTATCGTCAATATTATATGTATACACAATGCATTATATTAATAGCATAGCACAATATTAGTAATATATATTACTATATTGTACTATACCACTATACTGCAATATTATTAGTAATATTACATGAACTATACAAGTATTATATTAGTATATTGTACTATATTATTATACTAAAATATATAAAATACACTACCAGTATATGTTTTGCGACAGTTCTCACCATCGGCTCTATTTTGAATTTAAACCATTGTTTTATATGCTAGTAGTTTTGATCTTTTATTGTATTGTGTGTTTATTTTATGCGTTGTTCCAGGCACATTGTGCCGTATGTAAGTATATATAATATATTATATTATAACATTATTCAGTAGTTTGAATCAGGGGAGCAGGGTGAGCTCCTGCTGTTAGGCCCAGCTTCTGCCAACCTAGAAGTTTGAAAACATGCAAATGTGAGTGGATCAATAGGTACCGCTACTGCGGAAAGGTAATGGCGCTCCAGGCAGTCATGCTGGCCACATGACCTTGGAGGTGTCTACGGACAACGCTGGCTCTTCAGCTTAGAAATGGAGATGAGCACCAACCCCCAGAGTCAGACACGACTAGACTTAATTTATTTATTTTTGCTTATATACTGCTGTATCTCAAGCCTGAAGGCGACTCACAGCGGTTCACAAACAGTAAAAACAGTAGAAACAGCAGTGGTTCCATACAACATATAACAATTGACTTAACACATTATCCATAAATTACCAATAAGCAATTACAATGCACAATTATTACAAAAAACAACCGTACCCAATCTTCTCATCATCCAAGCATAGTCCAGATTCGTCGTCCATTGTTCCATTCCTATGTTCCATTACCAGATTGTACTAAATTACTCAAACGCCTGCACAAACATCCAGGTCTTCACCTTTTTGCGGAATACCATTAGAGATGGTGCTAGTCTAATGTCCGTAGGAAGGGCGTTCCACAGCCGAGGAGCCACCACCGAGAAGCCCTATCTCTCGTCCCCGCCAGCCGAGCTTGAGAAGCAGGCGGGATCGAGAGCAGGGTCTCCCCGGAAGATCTCAAAGTCCTGGTGGGTTCATAGGCAGAGATGCGGTCAGATAGGTAGCTTGGGCCGAAACCGTTTAGGGCTTTAAAGGCCAACGCCAGCACTTTGAATTCAGCCCGGTAGCAGATCGGTAGCCAGTGGAGTTGGCGCAACAGGGGGGTTGTATGCTCCCTGCGCTCCGCTCCTGTTAAAATCATGGCTGCCGAGCGTTGGACTAGTTGGAGCTTCCGAGCTGTCTTCAAAGGCAACCCCACGTAGAGAGCGTTGCAGTAGTCTAACGGGATGTAACCAGAGCGTGGACTACCGTGGCCAAGTCAGACTTCCCAAGGTACGGGCGCAGCTGGCGCACAAGCTTTAACTGTGCAAAAGCTCCCCTGTCACCGCCGAAACCTGGGGTTCCAGGCTCAGCGATGAGTCCAGGGTCACACCCAAGCTGCGAACCTGTCTTCAGGGGGAGTGCGACCCCATCCAACACAGGCTGTAACCCTATGCCCTGTTCGGCCTTGCGACTGACCAGGAGTACCTCTGTCTTGTCTGGATTCAATTTCAATTTGTTCGCCCTCATCCAGACCGTCACAGCGGCCAAGCACCGGTTCAGGACCTGGACAGCCTCCTTAGTAGCAGGTGGAAAGGAGTGACAGAGTTGGACATCATCCGCGTACAGATGACACCGTACCCCGAAACTCCGGATGATCTCCCCCAGCGGCTTCATGTAGATGTTAAACAACATGGGAGACAATATTGAGCCCTGAGGAACCCCACAAGACAATGGTTGTGGGGTTGAACAGGTGTCCCCCAACAACACCTTCTGAGATCGACCCTCCAGGAATGACCGGAGCCACTGCAAAACAGTACCTCCAAGACCCATCCCTGCGAGGCGTCCCAGAAGGATACCGTGGTCGACGGTATCGAAGGCCGCTGAGAGGTCCAGCAGCACCAACAGGGACACACTCCCCCTGTCGAGCTCCCGGCGCAGATCATCCACTAAGGCGACCAAGGCTGTCTCGGTACCATGTCCCGGCCTAAAGCCAGACTGTGCCGGGTCTAGATAATCCGTGTCTACCAAGAATACCTGGAGTTGTGAGGCCACCACACGTTCCAAGACTTTGCCCAAGAAGGGGAGATTAATGTGAAGGGGTAACCTGTACCTTTTTACTATTACATTACAATGTTATTATTTCTATATATATTTCTATATATTATTATATTGTATATCTTGAGGAGCTCCCAAATGATGTTGCAGGATTATTCCTTATTCCTTGTCTAAGGAATGGCATCCATGGGGTCACCATAAATTGGCTGGCGCGTTGAAGGTGGTCACAAACCTGAAGTGGAGACTACAACCACTACTTCTGATGGACTCCCCTCAATTTCACATTGAGTGGAGGGCAAAAAATATGAACTGCTCTTTAAAAATGTCCTTAATAAACTCAACTGGGTTCTCATTTTAAGCTAACAGCCCTGGTCAGAGGCTGCTCCTCTCTGGGCCTTCGCCCTGGACAGAGGGCGACTGAGTCCTCTAACCACTTGGTCCCTCCCAAGATGCCCAAAGCCTCACTCACCTGACGCCGAGGAACCTGCTCTGCCAACCCGAGCATGCGCACACCGAACCCCAAACAGGTAAGGCGTGTGGAGGGCTGAACGCTCTGTTGTACTGCGCAGGCGCGAAGGGGGCGTGAGTGGGGAGGGCTGGAGACGGTCGTAGAACCACGCATGCGTGCATTTTGGCCGTACTACAAATGCGCGCAATTTCAACCGAAGGGAATCATAACAACAAAAAAAGGGGCCAATCAGAAGTCTCGTTAGATCACGTGCCTGCCGATAGCTTCACTTGATAGGGCGTCGCTCCAAAGATGGACAGCGGGGGCCCAGGCTTTCGGAAGCGCAAGGGGGCGGGGCGTATGCGGGGTAGGGTCCAATCAAGAGACACGCTGTTCTTCCCTTGCTCAGAGAGGAGCCGCCGTTCGCCTGCGATGCCGCCGGTCTGGGTGAGTCCGCTTCCTGCCTGGCGAGGCTCGTTACGGGTATTGGGAGGGAAGGAAGGAAGGATTAGGAGGCCCGAAGGGTGGAAGCTCTTCTCCCCCCTGAGCTGCTGGGGTTGTCACTTGCCATCCTGCCTGGATGCTCTGTCTGGGGGTGATGGGAGGTCCAGTCCTGCGAACCCCCCCACTGTAAACAATGTAATTACTACAGGTTGAGACCAGAAATATCTTGAGCTTGAATTTTGAATTTTTCCCCATGTGAAGCCTTCAGGATGCGACTCAAATCTAAATAAGAAATTCCTTAATATCTACTTTATATTCTGGAGGCAATATTATACACACAAATATGAAATATAAGTAGGAGAAGGAGATTCCACCAGAACATTAGGAAGAACTTCCTGACTGTGAGAGCTGTTCAGCAGTGGAACTCTCTGCCCTGGAGTGTGATGGAGGTTCCTTCTTTGGAGGCTTTTGAACAGCGGCTGGATGGCCATCTGTCAGGGATGCTTTGAATGCGATTTTCCTGCTTCTTGGCAGGGGGTTGGACTGGATGGCCAACGAGGTCTCTTCCAACTTTCAGCTAACCAGCACCCAAGAGGGATGAATTTAGTTTGCCAGTTGCTTGAGAGTCACTATTCAAAACTGATTCTATAATTCAGAGTAGACTCTCAGCTAACCAGATTGGTAAATGCTGGATGAATTTAGTTTGCCAGTTGCTTGAGAGTTACTATTCAAAATTGGTCTAGCCAATACTATATTCATACTGTGCCATAAACTCAATATTGACTTCATATTAATATTGGAATACCGCATAGTAATTACTTTGTTTCAATATTAATATCACATCCAATGAAAACAAATCTAATGTAGCAGTTTTATTGTATTATACATCTTTTACATTTTTAAGTATTATTTCTTCAATTTTTTGCCAGTTGCTTGAGAGTTCTGCATAACTGAGAGTCTAATCCAGCTTCTTGGATCTGTTCTCCTTGACTTAGGTTGCATCCACACCAGGCATGGGCAAATTTTGGCCCTCCAGGTGTTTTGAACTTCAACTCCCACCATTCCTAACAGCTGGTTTGTCCATGCCCGATCTACACTGTCAGATTAATGCAATTTGATAGCTGCCGTGGCACGATGCTGTGGCATCCTGGGAGTTGTAGTTTGGTGAAGCACCAGCACTATTGGGCAGATATATTTATCAGAAGGGAAGAGAAGTGATATATTTAATGACATCAAGGCAAGACTAGATAGTCATTTGCCACTTTTAATTTTGACCCCGGACCCCCCAGTGGTGCAGTGGATTAAACCCTTGTGCTGGCAGGACTGTTGACTGAAAGGTCAGCGGTTTGAATCCAGGGAGCAGGATGAGCTCCTGTCTTGTTAACTCCAGCTTCCTGTGCGGGGATATGAGAAAAGCCTCCCACAGGATGATAAAACATCCGGGCGTCCACTGGGCAACGTCCTTGCAGACGGCCAATTCTCTCACCAGAAGCGACTTGCAAGTTCTCAAGTTGCTCCTGACATGAAAAAAAAAAAAGTTGATTCTGATGCAAAATTGTTGTATGCCCAGCCAGCACTATCTCAGCCTCCCATGTGGGCAGTTTTGGAGTGTTTTGGATAAGGGATGCTCAGCCTGTATTGGGGGATAGTGGATCTTGCTACCTCCTGCTGGCAACAGGCTCCCTGGAAGTTCTCCTTTGATGGTGCTTTGAAGGGTTGAGGACCTTACACATTCAGGCTCATCCTCTTCCCATTAGCATTGTGTTGATCAGTCACTGAAACGAGGAGGGAAAGCATACATGTGTGTGTGTGAATTGTGCCTTTGCAACATGTATCTTTTCCCGATGACAGAAGAGCCTTGTTGCCTCGCTTGCTGGTGGTGCTGTGTTTGGGATGGCACCGATTTGCACTAAAGGGAGGCTTGATGATGGGCTGTGCGGGTGGGAGTACTTGGGGTTTTTTTCCAGACCATTTGCTGCTTGATTCTGCTCAAAGACATCTGGTTATTGCAAGATCAGACCTAGAGGGTGTGATTTTCTCATTTACAGTTTCCTGCTTTTGAGTTCCTTCCCGAGCAGCTGAGGAAATGGCAAACTTTAAACTCCCTTTAAGGAGTGAGTTCAGTCAGACCCTTTCTACACAACCATATAAAATCCAAATTATCTGCTTTGAACTGGATTAAATGGCAGTGTGGACTCATATAATTCAGGTCAAAGTAGATAATGTGGATTATCTGATTTGATAATCTGGATTATATGGCAGTGTAGTAGGGGCCTCAGACTAACAATGTAATTCTGGATTTGAAAAAAACGAACCCAGGTTGGGATGCATCTTCTGTTGAATTAATGAGGTTTGACACCACTTTAACTGCCAAGGCTCAGTGCTATGGAATCATGTTTGGTGAGGTATCAATGCACCCCCTAACCTCCGCAGAGGTGGAGGACCCATTAAGTTGGTCCGCCCCAGGAGGCTTATGGATCCGGATGGATTCCTGACGGCTCTTGGGGAATTTCCCGCCTCCTCGGTTGGTGATCCTGTCGATGCCCTGGTCGCTCTCTGGAATGGGGAGATGACTAGGGCAATAGACACGATCGCCCCAGAACGTCCCCTCTCAAGTAGCCGAGCTAAACCAGCTCCTTGGTTTACTGAGGAGCTGGCAGCGTTGAAGCGAAAGAAGAGGGTACTAGAGAGCGTGTGGCGTTCGGATCCGAGCGAGCCAAATCGAACACGGTTTGTGTCCTTTCTAAGGGCATACGCCGCGGCAATAAAAGCCGCAAAGAAGACCTTCTTTGCGGCCACTATTGCGTCTGCAAAGAACCGTCCGGCAGAACTGTTCCGAGTTGTCAGAGGCCTGTTAAAGCCCACCATGCAGGATGGGTGCCCTGATGACTCGGCAGCTCGCTGTGAAGCCTTTGCTCAGTTCTTTGCAGACAAAGTCGCTTTGATCCGCTCTGGTCTGGATACCATATTAACGGCAGTCTCTGAGGATGTAACACGAGCATCTGCTTGTCCGGTTTTGATGGATTCATTTCAATTGGTTCAATCCGAGGATGTGGACAAGGTGCTTGGAGGAATGAGAGCTACCACATGCGTCCTAGACCCCTGCCCATCCTGGCTTCTGAAGGAGGCCAGAGGGGGATTGGCCGAGTGGGTGAAGGTGGTGGTTAATGCCTCCCTTCGGGAAGGCATATTTCCAGCCAGCTTAAAGCAAGCTGTGATAAAACCGCTGTTGAAAAAACCATCACTGGACCCCACTCAATTCGTCAACTATCGGCCTGTTCCAATCTCCCCTTCTTGGGCAAAGTCCTGGAACGTGTGGTGGCCTCACAACTCCAGGTGTTCTTGGTAGACACGAATTTCTGGACCCGGCACAGTCTGGCTTTAGGCCGGGGCATGGTACCGAGACAGCTTTGGTCGCCTTAGTGGATGATCTGCGCCGGGAGCTTGACAGGGGGAGTGTGTCCCTGTTGGTGCTGCTGGACCTCTCAGCGGCCTTCGATACCATCGACCATGGTATCCTTCTGGGACGCCTCGCGGGAATGGGTCTTGGAGGAACTGTTCTACAGTGGCTCCGTCATTCCTCGAGGGTCGGTCTCAGAAGGTGTTATTGGGAGACTCCTGCTCAACCCCACAACCTTTGTCTTGTGGGGTTCCTCAGGGTTCAATATTGTCTCCCATGTTGTTCAACATCTACATGAAGCCGCTGGGTGAGATCATCCGGAGTTTCGGGGTGCGATGTCATTTGTACGCAGATGATGTTCAACTCTGTCACTCCTTTCCACCTGTCACTAAGGAGGCTGTCGAGGTCCTGAACCGGTGCTTGGCCGCTGTGACGGTCTGGATGGGGCGAACAAATTGAAATTGAATCCAGACAAGACAGAGGTACTCCTGGTTAGTCGCAAGGCCGAACAGGGTATAGGGTTACAGCCTGTGTTGGATGGGGTCGCACTCCCCCTGAAGACGCAGGTTCGCAGTTTGGGTGTGATCCTGGACTCATCGCTGAGCCTGGAACCCCAGGTTTCGGCGGTGACCAGGGGAGCATTCGCACAGTTAAAACTCGTGCGCCAACTGCGCCCGTACCTTGGGAAGTCTGACTTGGCCACGGTAGTCCACGCTCTGGTTACATCCCGTTTAGACTACTGCAACGCTCTCTATGTGGGGTTGCCTTTGAAGACGGCTCGGAAGCTCCAATTAGTCCAACGGTCGGCAGCCATGATACTAACAGGAGCGGAGCGCAGGGAGCATACAACTCCTCTGCTGCACCAGCTCCACTGGCTGCCGATTTGCTACCGGGCTCAATTCAAAGTGCTGGCGTTGGCCTTTAAAGCCCTAAACGGTTCTGGCCCAACCTACCTATCCGAACGTATCTCGGCCTATCAGCCCACCAGGACCCTAAGATCTTCTGGGGAGGCCCTGCTCTCTATCCCGCCTGCTTCACAGGTGCGGCTGGCGGGGACGAGAGACAGGGCCTTTTCTGTGGTGGCCCCTCGGCTCTGGAACGCCCTTCCCATGGAGGTAAGATCAGCCTCCTCGCTGATGGTATTCCGAAAAAGACTAAAAACTTGGATGTTCAAGCAGGCATTTGGTTAATTCGGTGCAATGAATGTGTCGACTACGGATTGGTAATATGGATGATGCAATTGGACCACGATTTTAGTTAGGAGATGTATTGGATTGTGATTTATGTGAAATATTGTGTATTATGTTTTTTACGGTTTTAATTGTATACTGTGTACTGTATATTCTGTTGTAAACCGCGTTGAGTCGCCAGTTAGGCTGAGAAACGGCGGTATACAAGGACAGTAAATAAATAAAAATAAATAAATAAATAAAATTTGGCAGATAAGTCTAAAGCCTAAAAACTACAGCTCCCAGGTTTCCACAGCATTGAACCGTAGCAGTTAAAATGATGTCAAACTTTTAATTCTGCAGTATAGATGAATTCCTAGTTGGGTCAGATCTCTAATGCAATCAAATGCTCTTTGCATTTCAACCTCATGCATTTTTTTAAATTCCATGTTACCATTTGAATAAGGCTGTTTGGAAATGTGTTCTCATTTTCACACAGTGGAGGAACTCTGTCCTGTTCCATGTATGGGACAGAGTGGGTTTGTCCTTATTAACTGATAATTTTAGTTTGGATGGCAATAGCTAGAGAAGATGTGCTTAGACAATTTGTCACTCTGCACATTCTGCAGATTCAGTATCATTGAGCCACTCCTTTTTCTTATTATACAACTTAAAGTAATAACTGTAGATTTAGCATAGTCCACTAGGCTATTTTAAAAATCCCATTTATACAGGGTATGTTTCCTGTGTTCCTTGTTTTGCAATAAAGTTGATTATTCAGGAGTGAGCAATATAATCAGTTCCTTCTACAGCCCTGAAACTTCGGGTCAGCCCAAGACATTTTGTTGGCTTAAGACAGTCTAGAAAATGCCTCCTACTCATCTGAATGAAGGTGCATATCCTATATACTCACATATAACTCTAGAATGTTAATCAAAAGTTCTGGGTTGACTTTTCCATGCATAAGTATTGTACCTTAGCTCTTATCAAAAAAAGAACCATGCCTTTCTTTGAAAAGAGTGGTGAAAGGCAAGAGCTTAATCCATCCCAGGTGGTGCAATGGGTTAAACCCTTATGCTGGCAGGGTTGCTGACGAATAGGTCAGCGGTTCCAATCCAGGGAGAGTGGGTTGAGCTTCCTCTGTCAGCTCCAGCTCCACATACAGGGTTATGAGAGAAGCCTCCCACAAGGCTGGTAAAACATCAAAACATCCGGGCATCCTCTGGACAATGTCCTTGCAGATGGCCAATTCTTTCATACCATCAAAGGAGAACATAAAAGAAGTACCTGGTTGCTCACTTCCCTTTGCGCTCTCCCACTGTTTCTGGGTTTTTCAGTACCTGGCTGAGGAAATGGGGGCCAGAGGTAGCAGATCCCATGAGGTACCTTTTTCTGTTGAGTGACCCTTACCTTGTCCATAGGTCATATTAAATGTATCATTTGACCCCCAAAACCTGCCCTCATCACACATGAGGTCAGTTTATACATGAGTATATGAAATCTAGGCAAATTATTTAGGTATGCCTCTTCCCATCCCTGCTAGTTAATAGTACAGTAATTAAAAAATCAAATAACTAACCATTTGGTTCGCTTTCATGAGACATGAAACTTGTTGCCTGAGGCAGCTGCCTAATCATAGGGGACTAGATCTTCAAACTATCGGAATCTGAGGAATCTTTCTGTGTCACTTCAATGCATAAAGTTTATCTCATTCTTCAGTGTTACATTTCACTGGTTTTATTCCTGTTTAGAAGCAAAGCGTGTCTTAAAGTATTTAGCTCTCCCTAGCAAGATGTGTTTAGCTACTGATTTTTAAAAGATTGTTCTCTTTTCCCTTGACCAGATAAACTACTAGAAGCACAAGAAAACGGTTGTTTTTGTCCAAATACAAGAGTGTCGCCCTTCCCCCTTGCCTTGATGTGTTGGGGAAACTGATCTGTGCTGCACAGAGGGAGCCTGTAACTGGAGGACAGTGGAAGGTCACTACCTTGAAGACTGTGTTGGAGAAGACATGGCTCTGACCCTTGAAACTGAGTCGCGGATCTACCGCTCCCTCAGGGCTATCTTTGGTGCTACTGCACACCTAGTTTCACTTGGATTTACCATCTTTGTGGCTGTGCTTGCAAGACCGGGATCAAGTAAGTCAGGAGTCGTTGTAGGTGCATGGATGGATCATAAAGTTGATGACACTAAAGCTTGGGCAGGGATCCTTGAAGTTGTCCAGCCATCCAATCTTTTTTTCAAGCATGTGCAGAGATAACATTAACAAACTGAAAGTCTGAACAGATCTGTGCAGTGTTGGTTTCTGTGAGTTTGTTTAATTTGGAATTGGACTGAGTGGCCAGGTTTCTGAATCCTGCAGGCTTCTTCTGAGGCTCCTGCTGTGAAGTATAATCGTTAGAAAAATGCTTTAATACAGGGCTGGAGTTTTTCACTCTCTGTATGTTTTAGATGTTAGTTTCTAAAAGCCCCAGGAGCATGGCTGATGGTGAGAGATTACAAGAGTTGTAGTCCAAAATATCTGTACAACCAAAGGTTACCCATTCAGACCTAAATGGATAGGAATGGCTATTGTCAAATAAGTTCAAATAAGTAAGTTCAACATATAGGTGGCGCAGTCCTGCCCTTGTGCTGGCAGAACTGCTGACCGAATGGTTGGTGATTCAAATCTGAGGAGTGGGGTGAGTCCCATCTGTCAGCTCCAGCTTCTCATGTGGGGACATGAGAGAAGCCTTCCACAGGATGGTAAAACATTTGGGCATCCCCTGGGCAATGTCCTTGCAGGCTGCCAATTCTCTCACACCAGAAGCAACTTGCAGATTCTCAAGTCCCCCCTGACATGAAAAAAAGTTCAATATAGATTAAAACAAAGTGCTGTTAAAATCTAATAATATATATTTAATAAACCAATTAAATAAACAATTCTACTGAATGTACAAATGTAGCACAGTTTAGATCACATTTAAAGCATATTAAAGATGATAAAAATATATCACTCTGTTGATCAATTTAGAAAAAGGCATTGTAGTAGAGATGGGTGTGTGTGCGTCCATATATTCCAGTTCAAAGCAGATAACGTGGGATTTTATTCAGCTATGTGGAAGGGATCTAGGTGCAGCCTAGGAGAAGACAAAGTAATTTCTATCTCAGGGTGTATCTGCACTATAGAATTAATGCAGCTTGCCACCATCAACTGCCGTGGCTCAGTATTATGTTTTCTTGGGAGTTGTAGTTTTACAAAGTATTTGGCCTTCCTTGCCAAAGAGTGTTGGTGTCTCACCAAAATACAAATCCTAGGATTCCATAGCCTTGAGCCATGGCAGTTAAAGTGTAAAGTCTAGCAAAAGAAATGGAGTATTCATCCCCATCTTGGTATCCATCTGTACCTTGAGTACAATTGAAGCTATCTTTCCACATTCAGTTGCTTTTGCTTAGATGGGCTATTACAGATTGCCTTGAGAATTTGGCCAGTGCCCATCTCTGTCAGATAGTGTAGCATTTCTCTTGTTCCATTATTGAGTACAACATTTGAGCTTTGTCACAGCAAGCTGATCCTTTGATGGCCACTTCTTCTATTATCCTGTTTCAGCCTGGAAGCTTTTACAGAATATCTTTTCAGCTTCTCAGATAAATGGGTCCCTCAGTGTAATAAGAGTCACACATACAAACAGTGGCTGTAGATGAGATCACCAGGCCCATTTTCAGTAGTGCCCCAAGAATTTCAGCACTGGACAATTATTCTGTGGTTGCATTTCACAGGGCACACCTTGTTTACTCAACGTGTTTGTTTTGTTTGTAAAGTGATAGTATTGCCCTGAAGCCTTAAAATCCACAAAAGGATTTATTGCATAACACAAACACATTCTTGAACCAGGAAAGTTCATGTTAGATCTTAAGGTGCTGCTACAAATGAAGATTATCACACTTTTGGAATGTATACATTTTGTTTGAAGCATTTCTATTTCCACAATGTCTTGTAATGCTGTTGCTGTTCATTCGTTCAGTCATCTCTGACTCTTCGTGACCTCATGGACCAGCCTACACCAGAGCTCCCTGTCGGCCGTTACCACCCCCAGCTCCCTCAAGGTCAGTCCAGTCACTTCAAGGATGCCATCCATCCATCTTGCCCTTGGTTGGCCCCTCTTCCTTTTGCCTTCCACTTTCCCCAGCATAATTGTCTTCTCTAGGCTTTCCTGTCTCCTCATGAGTGCCCGTGAGCTTTCTGTGAAAGACTGGTTGTCCCACATGTATCAAACAAGTCCCATAGGCTAAACCCATCCCACTACATCATTTTACATTGTGGTGGCCCGTGAAGCTTTCAATGCCAGGGCAACATAGTTACATTTATGCAGTCTTACAGTTACAACCAGCCCTTTGAAGGTAACCCTAAGAAGGCAGATGTCCTCGGTGAAAATGTGTTTGACACCCCTGTATCCACGCTCAGAACAAGACTTCGTAATCTTTAGTCTGATCCAGCAGGGTTCTAATGCAAGTTGAATTGATTATGACTGTGTCTCATCTGAAGAGCTGGCAGTATATTTCCAGATGTGTGTTCATTTATTTGACTCTAAATTCTAATTTTGCTCCCATTTTCTTTTTCAGGTTTATTTTCCTGGCATCCTCTCTTGATGTCTCTTGCGGTAAGCCTGCCAAAAACATATTTTGCCACTGTCTCCCCAAATAACAAAGTATAATCTTATATTTCTGTTTTGTGAATGATTTCTGTTCACTAAAGAAGTCTGATAAATTGTGGAGCTGAAAGAGAATATGCACCTGTTCCTGCATTCTGTGGGCCTTGAATTAAGAATTCATAGAACCATTGAGTTGGAAGAGCTGTCCTGTCCAGCCCCCTGCCAAGAAGCAGGAAAATTGCATTCAAAGCATTCTCAACAGATGGCCACCCAGCCTTTGTTTAAAAGCCTCCACCACACTCTGGAGCAGAGAGTTCCACTGCTGAACAGCTCTCACAGTCAGGAAGTTCTTCCTAATGTTCAGGTGATATGTTCTTTCCTGTAATTTGAAGCCATTGTTCTGCGTCCTAGTCTCCAGGGCAGCAGAAAACAAGCTGCTCCCTCCTCCCTATGACTTCCTCTCACATATTTATACATGGCCCTCATCATGTCTCCTCTCACCCTTCTCTCCTTCAGGCTAAACATGCTGAGCTCTTAAAGCCACTCCTCATAGGGCTTGTTCTCCAGACCCTTGATCATTTTAGTTGCCCTCCTTCAGTTGCGGTGCCCAGAATTGGACACAGTATTCCAGGTGTGGTCTGACCAAAGCAGAATAGAGGGGTAGCATGACTTCCCTGATTCTAGACACTAGACTCCTATTGATGCAGGCCAAAATCCCATTGGCTTTTAAAGCTGCTGCATAACATGTTTAACTTGTTGCCAACAAGGACTCCAAGATCTTTTTTACATGTACTGCTCTCGAGCCAGGCATCCCCCATTCTGTATCTTTGCAATCCCTGCTAGTCCCTTCCCTGTTCTAGATTATGATCATAATTACTCAGATCACATCTATGTAACCCTCTAAGTCTGAGTTTTCCAACATTTAATGTTAGTGACACACTTTTAAGACATGCATCATTTTATAACACAGTAATTCAGTTTTACTAGCAAACAGGAGGTTAAACCAACCCCTTATAAGAGATATGGGCATGTATATAAATTGCAAATGACAAAATATATGGGGGCACAACATCTATATCTATAGCTATATCTATGTATATAATAAAGGTGAAAGTTTGTATGCGGCGGACAAAAGTGTGGCGGTGCGACGGGAGGAGTATGTGCCAGCGTTTTGATTGGCCAGCCTGAAAGTTCCAACATTCTGATTGGCTGCCCCAGTGGTGCTATTTGCATATGGTCTCTGATTGGCCAGCTTCAATAGGAGCCCCTGGTGGAGAAAAGAGTTCATGGCAGAAACGGGGACATGAGAAGGAAATTTGCATATGGTCTCTGATTGGCCAGCCTCAATTCCAAGATTCCGAGATGACAAAGAGAGGAAAGGAAAAGGCCAGGGGAGGCTGAGTCAGACAATTACCAATACAGACCACACTTGGCACACAGAGCCCCCATGACCCACTCGACATCCTACTGCAGTTTGGAGGAGGATGAACCATGGATGATGGGACTTGCAGTACCATCACTCACATTCTGAGACCGCTGTTAACCTCATCCAATGACTGATCAGGACCAAACTTGGCACATAGACCTCTCATGACCCACTTTACGTCCTGGTGTGGTTTGGCCGGGGATGGACCATGGATTATGGGACTTGCAGTACCTTTGCTCAATTCTTGAGACCACTGCAACCCTCATCCAATTACCGATAAAGACCAAACTTGGCACACTGAGTCTCCATGACCCACTCTACATCCTGGTGCGGCTTGGAGGAGGATGCACCATAGATGATGGGACTTGCAATACCTGCACTCCCTTCCTAAAACCATTATAACTGCCTACAATGATGGATCAGGACCACAATTTACACAGAGAGCCCGCATGACCCACTCTACATCCTGGTGCGGTTTGGAAGAATTTGACAATGGATAATGGGACTTGCAGTCACTTCACTCACTTCCTGAGACCACTGAGACCCTTGCCAATGACTGATCAAGACCAAACTTGGCACACAGAGTCCCCATGACCCACTCTACATCCTGGTGTACTTTCGAGGAGGACAGACCATGGATGATAGGACTTCAAGTACCTCCACTCTCTTCCCAAGACTGCTGCAACCCTCATCTAATGTCCGAACAAAACCAAACTTGGCACACAGAGCCCCCATGACCCACTCTACATCCTACTGCGGTTTGGAGTAGGGCATACCATGGATGATGGGACTTGAAGTACCTCTACTCGCTTTCCGAGACTGCTGCGACCCTCAACAATGACTGAACAACACCAAACTTGGCACATAGACCTCTCATGACCCACTTTACGCTATGGTGTGGCTTGACTGTGGATCGAGCATGGATTATGGGACTTGCAGTATCTTCGCTCAATTCCTGAGACCACTGCAACCATCATCCAATTTCCGATAAGGACCAAACTTGGCACACCGGGTCTCCATGATGCACTCTACATCCTGGTGCGGTTTGGAGGATGATGCACCATGGACGATGGGACTTGCAGTTCCTTCACTCACTTAGTGAAACTACTGAGACCCTCATCCAATGACTGATGAAGACCAAACTTGGCACACAGAACCCCCATTACCCACTTTCTCTAATAACCCGGGCAACGCCGGGTCCCCAAGCTAGTATATAATAAAAGTGAATGTTTGTTTGTATGTGGAGTGACACACCTGGACCAAACTTGCCACACATAACCCCCATGAATCCCTTTACATCCTGACCCACTCTACATCCTGGTGCAGTTTGAGGGAGGATGGATCATGGATGATGGGACTTGCAGTACGTTAAGTCACTTCCTTAGAGCACTGTGGCCCACACCAATGACAGATACAATACCCTTTTAAAATAACCCGGGCAACGCCGGGTACCCAAGCTAGTAATATTATATAATTGATATGTATATGTGTTTATGTACATGTATATCTTTTATAGACCTTAGAGAAGACAATGATGCTGGGGAAAATGGAAGGAAAAAGGAAGAGGGGCCGACCAAAGGCGAGATGGATGGATGGTATCCTTGAAGTGACTGGATTGACCTTGAAGGAGCTGGAGGTGGTGACGGCCGACAGGGATCTCTGGTCCTTGAGGTCACGAAGAGTCGGAAACGACTGAACGAATGAACAACAACAAAAAGAATCCCACACCTTGTGTAAATGTGGAGCAGAACAGACAACTCCGCATCTCTGTGCTTGTCCACGATGCCCTGCCTCATGCACAGAGAAAGAATTGTTGGAGGCTACAGACAATGTCGTTGCTGTTGCCCGTTTTGGGTCAAAAGATATTGAGTCATCTGCGCTCCTTCTATTTTTATCAGTTTTATACTAATTTACTAGCTGTACCCGCTATGCGTTGCTGTGGCCAACCTTCTTTCTCCCACCCTGGACCTTCAACAGATATATAATCCCCACTTGCCTCGTTTCCAACAGACCTCACAACCTCTGTGGATGCCTGCCATAGATGTGGGCGAAATGTCAGGAGAGAGTGCTTCTGGCCAGAAAATGCACAGCAACCCAGTGATTCTGGTCATGAAAGCCTTTGACAACAAGGATGATAAAAACACCAAAACATCCGGGCAATGTCCCCTGGGCAACGTCCTTGCAGACAGCCAATTCTCTCACACAAGAAGCGACTTGCAGTTTCTCAAGTTGCTCCTGACACAACAATAATAATAATAATTCAAACCTAAAATATACAAACACTAAAAAAGAATTAAATATGAACAGTATTAAAATATGCAATTCTATTTGTCTATTTTGGAAAATATGTGAATTTCTTATGCCATTCCTTATTGCAACCTTTCTCAAAACTTGCGGAAACTTTGCCGTCTCGAATCCGGTGAAAGCCTCCCTCTAACTTTTGATTGCTTTGGGAAATCAGCAAATGTGAAAAACCTCATAAGCCTGCCTGTCAGCTGTCACATCTAATGCCGGCGCATATCACAGTCAAATATTGATTGCTGGATGCCAAATATTGAGATAGAATGCAATACAGAAACCAAATCTCTTTGGAAAATATTTGAGAGTCACGCGAAGGGCCTCCATCCTGTCGTGAGCCCCAAAGTAAAGGAGAGCCATTGAAACCAAGGCAGCGAGATCGGTATTGATTTTAGAGCGTTATCTTTGATTCAGTGGGTCTCCGACTGTTAGGATTAGAAACGGGATTTAAGGCGTCTCTCCGGTTCATTTTGTGATGTGCACGGAAACCTTGAGCATTGCATGGGAGCGTTTGTAGGGCACGAACTCTCCCGCTGTTTAAGGAACGGAATAGTTCCTTAAAGGGAAGGAAAGCAGTTGGGTTGGATAGGAAGGAAAGTTGACTAAACAGGGGCATTTATTTATTTATTTATTTATTTATTTATTTATTTATT